TGAACCTGGAAACAGATAACTTTGCTTTTCTGCAGACTGTGCTCAGGTTAGTTGAGACCTTGTCTGTGTATAGAGCTTTTTTTTTTTTAATGAAGGTAATTTTTGAGGTAAAAATGGGCAATTTGAGTGATTAAATAGGAGAAAGACTCTCAGGGAGAAGAGTAAGCATCTCCTGACCAAAACATTTAAATCTTCCTTTGATTTCTTCCTTGCAAACCCTTATGTTAATACAACTTTTAGAAAAACTTTGGAGGGATATCAAAGAGACTTGGACCTAAGCGTAATTTAAATAATGTTCTCCCAAACATATTTCTCAATTAAAGATGTCTGCTATACCTTTGTGAGTCTCCAAGGCAAGCCCCCGAGTCTCTGCTCCAGCCCCCTATTTTCAGTCTTCACCTCCCAGGACTCCTCTAATCAAACCTTTCTATCCTTCAGAGTTTGAAATAGTTAGCAGCTGCAAGCTATTATATATACAGTGGATAAACAACAAGGTCCTGTTAATAGCACAAGGAACTTTATTCAATGTCCTATAATAAACTATAATGGAAAAGAACATGAAAAGTTTATATATATGTACATATATGTATATGTATATATATAGCTTCCCTTGTGGCTCAGACAGTAGAAAATCCACCTGCAATGTAGAGATCTGGGTTTGATCCCTGGGTTGGGAAGATCCCCTGGAGGAGGGCATGGCAATCCACTCCAGTATTCTTGCCTGGAGAATCAGCATGGACAGAGGATCCTGGTGGGCTACAGTCCATGGGGTCGCAAAGAGTCAGACATGATTGAGTGACTAAACAGAGCAAAGTACACAGCATATTAGTTCAGTTCAGTCACTCAGTCGTGTCCGACTCTTTGCGACCCCATGGACTGCAGCACACTAGGCTTCCCTGTCCATCACCAACTCCTGGAGATTGTTCAAACTCATGTCCATCGAGTCAGTGATGCCATCCAACCATCTCATCCTCTGTCATCCCCTTCTCCTGCCTTCAATCTTTCCCAGCGTCAGGGCCTTTTCCAATGAGTCAATTCTTTGCATGAGGTGGCCAAAGTACTGGAGTTTCAGCTTCAGCATCAGTCCTTCCAATGAACACCCAGGACTGATTTCCTTTAGGATGGACTGGTTGGATCTCCTTGCAGTCCAAGGGACTCTCAAGAGTCTTCTCCAACACCACAGTTCAAAAGNTTCTGGAGAACAGTTTGACAATATATGTTATACAAGTGAAAATGTGCAGACAGGAGCCAAGGATATTCAAACCAACCTTATTTACAGTACAGAGTAATTAGAAATAATATAAATGTCTACCAAATTAGGATTGTTCACATAAATTTTGGTCTGCTCATACAATGGCATGGTAAAGAGCCTTTAAAATGATATGAATATTTATAGATATTTATAGACATAAAATGTCTAATAGGTGATACGGTTCTTTAGCGCTGAACATGGGCTTCCCTGGTGGCTCAGATGGTAAAGAATCTGCCTGCAATGTGGGAGACTGGGGTTTGATCCCTAGGCGGGAGAAAAGCATGGCAACCCACTCCAGTATTCCTGCCTGGAGAATTCCATGGATAGAGGAGCCTGTGAGGTTACAGTCCATAGGGTTGCAAAGAGTCGGACACGACTGAGCGACTTTCATTTCATCTCATAGATGTGAAAGGATATCCATTAGATACCACATCCTTATACCATCATTAATATAAAATGTGTGTGTGCATGTGCATGTTCGTATACACAGAGATCTAATATGCAGGTCATCATAATATCAACCACAATGTCTTCTGGTTGGGAGAGCCTTGAATGCCTTTACTTTCTTATTTGCTTATTGTCTCTAAGTTTACAAAAGCAATGCTCTTTCCTTTTACATTTACATAGCTAACACTAACAGAATGTGCATTATGTGCCAGGCACTTCTCTAATTGCTATAAACTATTATCATTCCTGAAGAAAACAAAGGTGGTAAGAGATTGAGTAACATGTTCAAAGTCCATAGCTAGTAAATGTGAAGCTGGGATTCAAAACCTGGTTGTCTTGCTCCACAGGCTGCACTCTTACTATACAGAAAGTGAAAGTGTTAGTTACTCAGTTGTGTCTGACTCTTTGCAACCTCATGGACTGTAGCCCTCCAGGCTCCTCTGTCCATGGAACTCTCCAGGCAAGAATACTGGAGTGAGTAGCCACTCCCTTTTCCAGGGGATCTTCGCCACCCAAGGATCAAACCCAGGTCTCCTGCCTTTCAGGTGGTTGCTTGACCATCTGAGCCACCAGGGAAGAAAAGTCCATAGCTGGTGAATGTGAAGCTGGGGTTCAAACTGGTTGTCTTGCTCCACAGGCTGCACTCTTATGACACTAATGAACACAATAGAGTGCAAAAGTCTTAAATCCTTCCCCCAACAACTTTATACCTCCCTTCAGAAGTAACCATTTAATCATCTGATAGGCACTCCAAAACCACTGTCTGGGATCAGGGATCAAACATGTGTCTCCTGTATTGGCAGGTGGATTCCTTACCACTGGGCCACCTGGGAAGCCCACAACAACATTCTTTAAATGTTCTTGATTAGTACAAAAGTTGAACATCTTTTCAGAAGTTTATTGGCCATCTTCATTTCTTTTCAGAATTGCTCACTTTTCAGTTGGGTAATTTGAGTTTTTCCTATTGTTGTGAAGAAGCTTCATGGATTTCCCTGCCAGTTCAGTGGTTAAGACTTGTGCTTCCAATGCAGGGGGTGTGGGTTCGATCCCTCAGGGAACTAGATCCCACATGCCATGTGGTGCAGCCAGAAAAAAAAAAATCCTTTGATGTCCTGTTTGCTGTGAATATTTTCTGAGTATATTGCATTTCTTTGAACTTCAATTATGTCTTACTGGCATAGGTTTTAGTATATTTTTGTATAACAAAGTGCCCATTTCTTTTCCTTTGTGGTTTTACATACTGTTTAGGAAGTCTTTCTCCCTAGCCAAGGATATAAAAATATAATGTAATAATAATTATTATAACATATATTATATAATAATATAATATGTATTATATTATATAATATTATAATAACAATATAATATTCCCCTATATTCTCTTCTAGTATATTTATATTTGTATTTATAGATTTTTACATTATTATTTAATTGTGGCAAAATAGATATAAACTTTACCATTTGAGCCATCTTGAAGTGTACAGTTCAGTGACATTAAGTACATTCACATTGTTACAGAGCCATCACTACCATCCATCTCCTGAATGCCTTCATCTGGCAAAAACTGAAACTCTATTGCTCTTAAACAGCAATTCCCCCCCCACCCCCCCAACCCCTAGCAACCANCCCCCAACCCCTAGCAACCACCTGTCTTTATGAATTTGACTACTCTGTGCCCCTCATATAAGTGGAATCTTACAATATTTGTCCTTTTTTGACTGGCTTATTTTGCTTAGCATAATGTCTTCAAGTTTCATCTATGCTGCAGCATGTGTCAAGATTTCCTTTTTTTTTTTTTTTGCTCAACAATATTCCATTATAGATTAATTTTTTGTCTAGCCTTTAATCCATATAGAATTTAGTAGTGTTTGGTAAGAAGTAGGGACTTCATTTTTTTATACTTAGGCTGGTCATCTTTTAATTTTTATCATTGTATTTATTTATTTCTTGGCTGTGCTGGGTCTTCATTGCAGCATGTGGCCTCTTCACTGTACACAGGCTTCTCTAAATGCAATGCGTGGTTGTGGTGCATGAGTTTAGCTGCCCATTGGCACATGGGATCTGAATTTCCTGACCAGGGATTGAACCCTTGTCCCCTGCATTGGGAGGAGTACTACTAACCACTGGACCACCAGGAAAGTCCCTAGTGGACTTTTAAACAACTCCATCAAAACCCAGACCCCCGTGGGGGCTCAGGTCTGTTTCTGGGGTGTTGTTTTCTAGATCCCTTTGTCTATATCCGGACTGGAATTATAATGCTTTAATTACTCAAGGTTTTCAGTAAGTTTTTATATCTGCTAAAGGCATGTCCCATCCCCATTCTTCTTTTTTAGACTTTCCCCAACTATTCTCTGATTCTTACTTTTTCAGAGGAACTTTAGAGTTAGTCACAGCCCAAAAATATTCCCATAGGATTTTGACCGGAATAGTTTGAAGCTGCTCAGTAATTTGAGGTCGACATTTAATAAAACTGAGCTAGCAGGTCTCCAGCCAGGAGTCTTGGCCTCCTTGTGGCTCTACAGACTGTCCAGCGCTGCCCGCTGCAGAGGAGTTACAGGCCGTGCTGCCTCTGCCAGCGGCCCAAGGCCTTCCCACGTGGCCCTCCCCGTCAGCCCATGGCCCTGAGGCTTCTCGAAAGGACAAATTCTTACACATCTTTGGTTTAATTTCTTTCCTCCCATAAATTACATTTGGATTTTAACCTGAACTTTCAGAACAAAAATCCAGGTGTGATTCATGGAAACCTCAGGCCCTACAGTAGAACTCTGGGGAAATGACCCCCTCTCCCAGCCAACCATACCCTCAAAAGGCAGGCACTGAACACACATGTGACCAGTAGACAGGTAACTAGGATCCAGAGGATGGTTTGTTTTTTTAAAGAGCTCTATTATTGTAGGATACCATAAAGTTCCCTTGTTTTAAGTGTATTAATTAAACGATTTTTAGTAAATGTGCAGAGTTGTGCCACCATCACCAAATCCAATTTTGCAACATATCCGATAAAGCAATTATCCTCCGATTAGAAAATAAATAAAAGGGGAAAAAAAGAAAAGAATAGTCTTCACACCCATTTATAGTCATTCTCGGCTGCCCCTTTGCCCTGAGCATGCCCTGAGCATGGGCACATCAGGAGGGGTGAGGGACAAGTCCCCAGGAGACCCTCTGCCAGTGAGTAGTGGGCCAATGCCCCCACAATGCGCAGAGCGTGACCTGCAAGCCAGCATCCCTCTCCTGAACAGGCCCAGCTGGGGGCTCCTCCTGAGGGCATAGGCCATGTTAAGCCCCATCCTTACCTCTCCAGGTGGATAAAGTTTGAAGAAAAGGTAGAGGAAGGAGGCGAACGCTGGAGCAAGCCCCACGTGTCCACACTGTCCTTGCACAGCCTCTTTGAGCTCCGCACCTGCCTGCAGACGGGAACCGTGCTGCTGGACTTGGACGGCGGCTCCTTACCACAGATCATAGGTGAGGCAAGGGCTGCTGTGGCCCCGCAAACCAGGGCAACGTGCCCTTCCCCTGCCCCATCTCCTGCCCACCCTTGGTCTAAGTGGCATGCCCACCTCTGATGCCTGCCTAGTTCTGTGGAGACCAGGCTTTGGGTCTTATGCTCCCAAAGCAGCGTCACAGTTGCTCCCAGTTTCAGATGCCTATAGAGAGGGCAAGATCAGCCTCTGAAATGCCGTTCAGCAATGGAATGAAAGGGAGAGGGCTTCTGAGCATGGTTGGAAACACGCATTGCCATGGCAACCTGTTTCTTATCAGGGTAAATGGATCATTACTCAGCTTCAGGAAATTAGCTCTCGTTTGATGGAGTGGCAAAGGAAGGGAGTAGCTTGCCTTACTGTCCCTAAAACTCCTTGTGAATTTTATTTTAGCACATTCAGTTTTACCAGAAGTATGCTGCCCCTAATACTTATCTAAAAAGAATTCACACTAGGACTAAAACCACTTAGCATAGTACCTTGTGCTTCTTAGGGTGTTTCATGGTTACAATTTCATTTATTTTCCCCAATATTATTGATAGAAAGAGCAGTGAATCCTATACCCATACATGCATACACACATGCTCCCACAATGCACTCACATGTACCACGTCTGCACACATGCGCCCACATGCACACACATGCACGAACTCCCACAGACATGCACACACACTTTTACATATAAGGAGGCTGACGGTTCATGACTGGTCCAAATTTTCAGTTTGTGGCAAGGGTTGGGACTATTTCTACATTCCATGCCTCCTTTAGTTCCCTTTTAATCCCACAAATCACAGGTGAAACTGAAGACCCCCACACCCCTGGTCATTCTGCCCCCCGGTGGACAAGGCATGTTTGTTTCCCACTTAGATGATGTCATTGAGAAGCAAATTGAGGACGGCCTCCTTCGGCCAGAGCTCCGCGAGAGGGTCAGCTACGTCCTCCTGAGGAGACACCGCCACCAAACCACAAAGCCCATCCACCGCTCCTTGGCTGACATTGGAAAGGCGGTCTCCTCCACCAGCAGTGAGTTGGGCCATACACTTGTTCTTTGCACACACCTCAAATCTACAACCCTCCACTCTTGATATCCCAGAGTCGAGATGCCCAGACTCTAGCCTCTTTGGACCTGTGAGATAATTGCAGGAATCAGTACCAAACAGATAATGCTGCTACCTGAAGAGACTTGAGGAATCTCTTTAGAGGAATTATTTTAAAATGGAAAACATTTAGCCTGCAGCAGGTACATATGCGGGATTTACCTTGTTCCAGGCGAAGTGCGCCCCAGGTTTATAGAGTCATCCTCACAAGAAGCCTGTGACCAGCTATTGTTCTCATCAACCCCAAAGTGGGAGGCTGAGGCTTGGAGAGGTTAAGTTACTTGCCTCGGGTCAAATGACCAGTATGTTGTGGAACCAGGAGTGAACCTAGGTCATAATTACTCCAAAAAATGCAACTGGTGGAGTTGCAGCCCGCACAGGGGCCTGTGAGGGGCACGGCCACAGACCGCGCTCCGTCAGGCAGTTTGTCAGGGATGAACAGACGGGTGAACTGGGAGGGAAAAAAAAAAAGGAAATTTGGGAAGTGAAAATAAAAAGCAGTGCGAAGGAGTATTTTCCTTTGAATACTTGCACTAAAATGACAAGCTATGAACAAGCACAGCCCAGGGCTGCGCCTCTGACCAGGCCCGAGGAATGCTTCGGGACAGCAATGGCGATGTGACCGCAGCTACAGCGGGGGGGTGCCGCGGTCTTTGCTGTCTGTTCTCAGTGACCCCAGGATGTGCTTAGTCTCCCTGGCCTTGGTCATTCCGCAGAGCAGTGTTGGCGGTCAGAGGGGGTGAATGGCCTTGGCGTGAGCCTTCTGCTCATTTAGTCACTGCGTATGAAGTCGCCCTATGCCAACGTTGCCATGGTGGGAACCTGGATAAAAGGCATGAACGAGTGGTTACAACTTTGTGTGCACACACCCCCTCCTGCAAGACAGCACCTGGGAAGGCTCAGAGAGGAGGAGACACTTGCCTGAGTCTTGGAGAATAAATAGAAATCTTCCAGTAGCTTGGTCTTTAGAACAAAGGAAACAAACAGTGGGTGATGGGAAGGCGCTGTGAAGGGCACTGCATATTCAGGGAAATACCGCGCTTCAGTTCACCAGGGATGTAGGATAAAAAGGAAAGGGTCCAAATCGAAAGGGGCCTGTGTGTCTTGCAAAAGGCCCAGCCTTTATTCTGAGGGTAATGAGTTCTCCTGAGAAGTCTGATGCGGGCACATACCATGATCAGAAATAAGCTAGAAGGGACTGAATGACTGGGAGCAAGAGATGAGGGCCGTGTTCAGGCAATGAGAGTGAGAATGGAAAGAGAAGGATGCTGGTGGAATTCAGCAAATGGTGGGAAGTGGGAAAAGAGGACGAGAAGGGAGTTGAAGCTGGCTCCAAGGTCTGCTGATTGCTTGTGGACACATGGGATTGGGCATTGGGTGATGTAGGGTCTATAGAGGGAGGGATTTGATGGAAGACAACAAGTTTTGTTTCCTAGTGTGTGGAGTCTGAGGTGCCAGGCGGGGCTGCTCAGAGAAATCTGGAGCTTAGGGGAGAGATCTGGGCTGGAGACACAACCTGGGCACCCCCGGCACAGATGTGGATGGGGAAGAAACGGAAGTGGACGGGATTGACCAAGGAAGAGTGGGTGAGGGCTCTGGAGGGTTTGAGTGCAAAGCAAATACAGAAAAAGCCCAGTCCAAGAGGATCCTGGATGGAAATAAAGGAAAGCAGAGTCTGGCGGCACAGGAGCTCCATAGACCACAGGAAGCCTGAGGGGGCTCACTGGATTTGGCTGCTGGCGGGGAATGAGAACTGACCTTCTGCCTTAATGCAGCAAGGAACTGTCGGCCATGGGGAGCCCCACCTGCCTCCCCTCTGCCAGCGCAAATCCCCAGCCCTCTTTAAAGACTCGCGTGGGTCAAGGCAGACAGACGTGAAACTGCTCTTCTCTCTCCAACAGAGTCGAAGCTTACTGACACTGGCTCCTCACCCAGTAGGGCATCTGTGTTCCTCTCCACCTGCAGGGCCTGTGCAGGGCAGACGTCTTAGTCTCTAAGAAGGCAGGCTGGGACCAGGGAGAAGCATATTGAAGGAGTGAGAAGGAAGCAGTAGAACCTGGGGTCCAGCAACTCCTTTAAGAAAACTGCCATTGAAAGAAAGAGAAGAGAGAGGATGCTAGCTGAAAGGCCCTGCAGCATAATGGGGGAGTTTGCTTTGGTTGTGAAGCTGGGAAAAGCCTGTGCAGAGACCAAGAAAAGGGAACTGAGAGATCCCGTTTTGCCCTGATGGACCTCCTTCTCCTTTTCTCCTAGGTCACGCCCAGAGCAGAAGCATGAATGATATTTCTCTCACCCTAAACACCGACCAGGTAGAAAACCCCTGCCTTTGGCTGCAGTGGAGGGTCAGGGCAGGAAGAAGTCTTTGGTTTTAGGGGTGGAGAACCCTATGGGCAAAACTCTAGTCCCATGAAAAAGTGGGGTCCCCAGAAAGGACACAGGTGGGGCTCTGAGCAGCCATGGTGACCAACCCTCCATCACTTGGGCTGTGTGCTAGGCCCTGGGGACAGAGATATGTGATCAGATGAGGTGTCAGCTGTCTTTGAACTGGGAATTTATTGAAGAGACTGCCACACAGAGTTTGCCTCATGCATGACCCATCCACAAGCACTTTGAATGATGAAGCGGGGACTTGGGTGGATAGAGACACAGTGGGGCCTCCCTGTGGAGACGTTAATGGTAGTGAATGAGCTGGACTGAGCAAGAGTGTATTATCTTCTCCTTGGCTGGTGCTGGATAAAGTCAATTCTTGTTTCTCGCCAGCTCGGCTGAAACCTTGATGAGGTCAGAATCCCGCAAACAGCCCCGGAGCCCCATGACTATGCCCCTGAGGAAAGCCCACAGGAGGCTGCCCTCAACTCCAAACACTCACACCTCAGGGGCAGAAGGTCTCAAGGACCCCTTGCCTGGGCCCTCAGGAATGGAAAGGAAGGTGAGGAAAGACATCCGAAATTTGGAGAGCTTGGGTGCCTTCCAAGGGTTCAAGGCAGCCCCAAGTTTGGGAGCAGGCAAAACAAAAGCATCCCCTCAAGTCAGTGAAGTCAGAGTTTGGATGGCCTTTTGGTGGCCAAATGGTAAAACAATAATAACAACATCAACCAACATTTGAGGTCCACATATTGCTTGTACTACACTATGCAGGGCATTTTCTGTGCATCATGAAGGTACTATGTCATCTTCCCTCCACAGATGAGAGCATAAACGCAGTTAAATAACATGCCAAAGTTCATGCAGCTGAAAAGTGGCATGACCATGCTTCGATCCAGTCTGACTCTAGAGCCCTTAATTTGGGACTGACTTAGGAACGAGTACCCTGGAATATTATTTAGAGAAGAACCCCACTTTACTGTAGTCATGGGCAGACAGTTGAGCCGTGACAAGAAAGCACTGACCAGTGAACGTTTTTCACAACCTATTTTTTTACTGCCTAAGTGGTAATGAGAACACTATCCACTCCTTTCCCCCAAGCAGAGCTGCCTTTCACTGAGGGACTGGAGCCCAACGCCAGGCATATCGTCCAGTTCTACTCACCGGCTATAGGATGCTGCTTCTCAGTGTTTGTAGCAGCAATTGGCTTGCCATGGGGACAGCAGTTAGTACAACAGTGGGTTTCTTTAGGTTCATCCTTTTTTTACCACTCCACATTGGCCCTGAGTTCCAGTGAGTCCCCAGTGGGCAGAGGTGGGTTCAGACAGTGTGGCTATGTGCAGTGACTTGGCAGAGCTGGACTAGAGTCCCCCAGGTTTAGGCAGTGGGGTCAGCAGGACCCTGGTTAGACAGGCCCTCATCCAGACCATCACCCAGCCAGAATGCTCTCATGGTCCTTTGCTGGGGTACTACCACCCCCGCCTCCTTACTGGGACCACAGGCCCTGTTTTCGCTCCTCTCTGCTCCTGGTTACACGTGTGCTACATGGGCTATCCCAGAACACTGTGGTTTCAAAGCCTCGTTCTCCAGGACACTCCTACCACCAACCTCTGCTCCAGTCCCCTAGAGCTTCTCCCTGCCTGGTGCCCGGGGACGTGGAGTTGGCAGGGGAACAGTGGCTGCCCTGGCATGCTCAGCCCTCCATCCTGAAGAACCCTGCTTATGAATCAGCTGACAGAGCTTGGGACAAAGGGACTTTATGAGTTCTGGGGATTCTGGCCTTCCCATTAACACCTGCTGTTGCTTCTTCTCACTACATTAGGGACCTTGGTGTTGTTGCCTGGTGGTTAGTGACAGTTTTATGTTTCTGAGTGGTTTTAAGAGATTATAAGGGTGTAGCCCTTACTCAGGAGCCCTTCTGAGGGCTGGTAGAGCCCCAGCCCAGTCTGTATCACGTCCTCCATGAGTCAAATCAGGAAATGGCTGTGGGCCCAAAGGGGCAAGACCCGTGGGCCCAAAGGGGCAATGCCCATGCCTACAGCAGACCCCTTTCCAGGGACAGAGGAACTTATCTTCACTGAGCTTCTGTGCTCACAGGAGAGACTCCCATCAGGTGGGGAGTGGGTGGCAAAATCGTGGCATCCAAGGATCTCTCTGAAGCACTTGCTCACTCCTCCTGGGCCCTTTCTTCCTTTGTCAGCTACTGTGGACCCCCACCAGCCCCGTGCTACCCAAACGCTCCCTCCCCACCTCTTTCTGTGAAACTGTCTCTGTCCCTTGCCCACCCCTTGCTACCCAGAGGGGAAGTGATCTGAAAAACTAATGCACCCTAAGACGTTCAAGATGAAGAAGAGCATGTATGTGACCACCCCTGGGCATTTTCTTCATCTGAGCAGACTCGGGAGGAGCCAGTGTCCTATGCATAGCATGGAAGTCATAACCACAGAGTGGGCAGGGGGCTTGTCTCCAGCACCCCTCACATCAGACCCCCCTCACTCTGCCTATTCGACCTTTCTGCCCTGAATAGACACCAGCCAGAGGGACTAGCTGGAGGGCACTTCAGTGTCTCAGCTGGAAAGGCTCAGAAGCTATAAGTTTCCTGGGAGGTCCCCTGGGGATGACTTGGGGGCACAGAAGTCTCCCACAGACTTGGACCCACAGGTACAGGGATTCTCATCAGCCAGGATGCTGGTGGCAAAGATAAAACAAAGTCTGTCCACTCTGCCCACCAGGATGGTTTTGTTCCTCCCACAGCCACCAGGGTGAAGGCAAAGACGGAGGGCTGGGCGATGGAGTGTATGAGCCAGGACCCCCATCTGATTGAGCTGCAGCTGGGGGACGAAACCTGCTGTCCAGCAGGCCTGGCTCTCTCTCTGACCCCTCAGCTCATACTTCAGTAGAACACGGAATGTCCTGGGGGGTCAAGTCATTGCCTGCTCCTTCCCATCTATGAAAGGCTTAGTTGGTCCCTAGGGTTAACCTACTTTGAGTCTCCTCATCTGCAGACTGCAGGAGAGTGTTGGGCTGTTTCCTTCAGTCTCTAGAGAAACGCTGGGAGAATTTTGTAAGGTCAGGCCTCCACAGTAGTCTGAATGAGCTGAGTAAGAGCCAAAACCACTGCGTATGGGTACCCATGGGTATCTCATGCCCCCCTCCCTTACCAGCGGAAAAACAAATTCATGAAGAAGATCCCCAAGGACTCAGAAGCCTCCAACGTGCTCGTGGGCGAGGTGGACTTCCTGGACCAGCCGTTCATCGCTTTCGTACGTCTCATCCAGTCAGCCATGCTGGGAGGTGTGACCGAGGTGCCTGTGCCCACCAGGTGAGCGCCGACGACATCCGCCCAACACACCCACCCTCGGGTGGCCAGCTGTCCGTGCAGTCAGCCAGCAGTGCTGCTGGAGACACCCCTAAAATGAAGAAGGAAGATTAGGGAACTGGCTGGGGAGGGAGATCTGGCTGGGGAAGAGTTTTATAGAGTTTATTTAAAATAATCATAAACAAGAAGTAGCCAACAGGTGGGGGGCGGGTTGTTGGGTGAGTTCTGGGACACCAGGGCATGGTGAGGATGCCTAGGCAGAAGTGAAGAGGAATGTATCTCCAAAGCAAATATGGGATTCATGGGAGCAAATATGGGAGATGTTTATGGTCAGTTAAAAAGTTGAGAATGGATACTATTTCGGACCAGAAAGTCCTTCTCTCTAGCTGGTTTTATTTTTCCTTCTCACTTTCTTCCTCCTCCTCCATCTTTTTGCAGATTTCTGTTCATACTGCTGGGACCTTCTGGGAGAGCAAAGTCCTACAATGAAATTGGCCGTGCCATTGCAACCCTCATGGTGGATGACGTAAGTGCCACAAGAAGCAGGTACTCCTGAATGTCATGGCTCCTGCATCAAACATTGTGCCTTCATTCATTCACTTATTCAACAGTCACATCTGAGCATCTCCTGTATGCCAGGCCCTGTACAGGTGTGAGGATTATGACAAGGGAAGAGCCACTGCCCTCTAGGAACACCAGTCAAGTGGGAGACACAGCCCGACAGTCCTAGAGTGAACCACATGCCAACTGCCCAGGCACTCAGGGGGCCCTTCACACACGGTGGAGCTATACAGTTAAGGGTGAGCACACGCTTAGGAGGCAGGCATTCCAGGCAAAGGGGACCGGGGCCACAGCTCAGAGATGGAGAGCTGGATGCAAGTGGTTTGATATAGGCTCAGTGGAAGAGTTTCAAGAGCAGAAGGTGACACCAAAGAGGGAGCCAGAGCCTGTAGGCAGAGTTGAGAGTTGACCATCTGTGATGGGGAGACTAGGGGAGTTTAGAAATGAGCATGACCCAATCAGATCTGTAAAGTCAGAAAGAACATGCTGGAGACAGTGCGGAATGATGCAGCCTGACCCTCCAAAGATGAAGGGCTGGGACGTAAAACAGAGTTGAAATACCTGAGCCCCTTTGATTGGGCTGTCCACAGGTTTTCTGAGGAGCTTGCTCTGTGGGAAACTGAGAGCAGGAAGGTAACTCAACCCAGGTCAGATGACTGGAATACAGAGACCTGGCTTTCGGGTCCAGGAGGCACCTTTCTTTGAAAGCACATGCAGTGTGCCCCAAGGAGGTGGATGAGATGGGGACGGCAGCAAGGCAGTGGCCCTCTTTCTTCCTCCACCTCTCTCCCTGCCAGCTCTTCAGCGATGTGGCCTACAAGGCTCGGAATCGAGAGGATCTGATAGCGGGGATCGATGAGTTTCTGGACGAGGTCATCGTGCTTCCCCCAGGAGAATGGGACCCAAATATCCGAATTGAGCCACCCAAGAAGGTGCCTTCTGCTGACAAGAGGTGTGTGTGAAGGAGCGGTGGCAAGCGGGGAAGTGGTGCAGAGGGAGCTTTCAGTCCGTTCCTTTCGGATTTGGGTTTGAAAAAAAGACATCAGCACACATGGCTTTATACTTTTTTTTTATCCAGTTTTATTTCTTTAAAAAAAAATCAGAAGCAAATATGCTGAATGTGAACATCTGTAAAACCTGGGTGACCTGTGATGGGGTATTGCTGGATCCTTTTATGTCTTTTCCTCTGTATTTTAAGATATTTGATGATTGTAGCTGAAGAGGTTAAGGGCGTGATGAGGCCAGTCCTGGAGGTGCTGAACTCTTCCCAGGATTGGGAGCCCTACTGCCCACTGTCCCCCTTCTCCTTCCAGGAAGTCCGTGTTCTCCATGACTGAATTAGGCCAGATGAACGGCTCTGTGGCCGGAGGCGGTGGGGGAGCTGCTGGAGGCGGCGCTGCAGGCAGCGGAGGCGGCGGCGGGGCCGGTGGAGGGAGCAGCGCGGATGATGGAGAGATGCCAACCGTGCATGAAATCGGGGAAGAACTGATCTGGACAGGAAGGTGCCCACTCCAGGCCTGACGGCCACTCCAGCTGTCTTATTAGATTTCTCCACTCCTCTTAGGAATCTTCTCCTCTGTCTGCAGCACCCACTCCAGGCCTTGGAGTCTGACCACTGCACGCTTTTCCTCCCTCGCCTGCAAATCTCCTCCTGGATCCGACAGGAAAGGGGAAGCGCGCAGAAAGTGAAGGAACCCAGACTTTTCTTAGAACACCTTCTGTTACCTGTATTCGTCTTCTAGGGCTGCAGAAACAAATATCACAGACTAGGTGGCTTAAACAATAGAAATTTATTCTCTCAAAGTTCTAGAGTCTGGAAGTTCCAAATCAAGGTGTCAGCAGGGCCAGGCTCCCTCTGAGATTCTGGGCGGACTCCTTCCTTGCCTCTCCCTCGCTTCTGGTGGGGGCCAGCAGTCATTGCTGCTTCTTGCCAGGCATCCTGCCTGTGTCCTCGCATGGTGTTCTGCCTGTGTTTCTGTCTTCATATAGCATTTTCCTCTTCTTGTGAAGTTACCAGTCATACAGGATTAGGGTCCCCCTAACAACTTCATCTTAACTTGATTTCATGTGCAAAGACTCTGTTTCCAAATGAGGTCACATTTACAGTTTAGAATTTTGATACATTTTTGGGGGACACAATTCAGTCCATAACAGTACCTTTTGAATTTTTAACCTTATGTTACCTAGTCAAAAAAACCTGTTTTAAAAGAAAACAATAGAAGATTTTCCTGGCTTGTTTGGGTTTCTTTGCCAGCTTTTAGAATAACTTGGGTTGATCTGAATTTAGAAAAGGACAGAATCAGTCCTGCAAAGCTATTACTTTGAGAAGGGGGTTACGTTTTATATGCCTTTGGCTCTCTGCCAGCCGGTGTTTCCCAGCTTTACCCACTCCCTACCCTCATCCTCACCCAGGGGACATTTGGTAATTTCAGAGACATTTTTTGTTTGTCCCAATTGGAGGGGAGATGATACTGTTATCTAGCAGGTAGAGATTACCTAGCAGATAGAGAGAGACCAAGGATGCTGCTCAATGTCCTCTGATGCACAGGACTGCCCTCCCCGCTAACAAAGGATTATCTAGTCTAAAATGTCAGTAGAACCAAGGTTGAAAAGCCCTGCTGTATGCTAAACCCTGCTCACTGTGTTTGGAGCTTTGGAAAATAGTGTCCCCAATAAACACTCTCCCTAAACCTTACATTTCCCATGTGTTTGTTCCACAAAGTAAATAAAACAGTTGTAAGGTTCAGAATCTGCCCTTGATGAATCAGCTATAAACCAAGATCTCTCCACCTCCTAATGCTGGATGCACGTTTACCAAGCACAGGAACCCTGCAGATAATCAGGGACACAAGGAAGATAGCCATCTTTGGACCCCAGGATTTTCATTCCCTGTGGAATGTTAGGTCTGCCCCCAAGACATGATCCCATGAGGCCTTCCCTCTCCCACTCGGGCTGTCTGATCACCCTTCCCAGTGGAGATGGTGGGTCTAAGGAGAGAATTCTTCCCTGGTGTGAAATGTTCTGGTGAAAAGATCCTTTCCCCCATCCACCCCTAGTCAAGTTCCCTTCCTTGCCACAGGCCCTGCAGGCCCCTGGGCATAGCCCTGCCCCTACGCTGGTGTTTGTGGTGAGAAAGCAAAATCTCTGGGCCTGTCTTGAGCAGGTTCTTCGGTGGCCTGTGTCTCGATGTCAAGAGGAAGCTGCCCTGGTTCCCAAGTGACTTCTACGATGGCTTCCACATTCAGTCCATCTCTGCCATCCTATTCATCTACCTCGGCTGCATTACCAACGCGATCACCTTTGGTGGGCTTCTGGGAGATGCCACTGACAATTATCAGGTGTGTGTAAGTTGGAGAAGTGAGTGCAAATCTCAGAAAAATCCGTTGCCACAAGATGGTGGCAAGAAGCTACAAGCCATAATCCCAGAACCAAGGTAAGGATTCCATCTACCATTCAGGATCAGTCATCACCTTTTGCAACCCTTTACACTTCAAAAAAAAAAAGGTAATAACAAGCTGATATAACTGAAAAATCTAGAGCAAAATCATATTACTAAAGACCATATTTAAAGATGATGTAAATAGATCAAATGTTTAAGGGGAAATAATCTGCTTTGGTATTTGATATCTTTCCCACCGATGCTTGAATGAATTTAGTCATCACAATTAATTGAGTTGCTAATTGTGACCTTCTTCCCATACTTTTTAAAAAACATAACCTTAAATTCTTAGCTTGAAGTTAAGATATATTTAGAAATGTCTATCATGACAATAAGACAGGTCTCCCTGGGGAAAACAGTTTAACAGTGACACTAGCCTGAGACCCAGACAAGGGCCTTCTCTAATGGGGGCCTTCAGGATAGCACCCCTGGAAAGCTCAGAGCACCAAGGTGATGACCCATTTTCCTAGATAAATTGAAATGAGTGCCTATCTCCAGCCCACACCACTCTCCTGAGCAGCAGGTTCAATATCCAACTGCCTCCTGGGCATGTCCATATCGCTGCCCCTTGGGATTCCCCAACTCACAGGGCCAACATTGCATCTATTGTCTTCCCTCCAGACCTGTTGCTACCCCAGCCAATGAGCAAGACCATGGTTGACCCAGATATTCACACATCATCCTGACTCATAAATCCCAGGGTTCCCCAGTAGTCCTCATGACATGGTCCTACTTGCCTCTCAAGCCTCATCTCCCAGTTATTCCCCTTCTGATTTCTGGCCTCGCTCATCTGCATTGTTTTCCATCAATTCCAATCATCTTTCAGGTTTTCAAAGCCAGGCTCCCTTTCAGCTCCAGCCTCTGTACACTGTTCCCTTTTCCCAGACCACACTCTTTCTCATCACTCCACTTACCCTATGCTCCTGGTCTATTCTTGGCTCAATTTTGGGGTCTCAGCTTCAGTGTATCTACCTCTTGGGAGGCTTTCCTGACCACCCTTCACTCCTACTGTGTGCTCCTGTGACAACCTTATCTTATCCCAGCTTATCACATTCCTTGGCAGTGGTTCTTAATAAGAGATGATTTTGACCCCTAGGAGACATTGGGTAACATCTAGAGACAATTTCAGTTATTATAACTGGGAGGTGAGGTGCTACTGTGATGCTAATAAACATCCTACAATGCACAGGGCAGCCCCCCACAACAAAGAATGATCTAGCCTGAAATGTAAGTAGAGCTGAAGTTGAGAAACTCTTCTATATGGAAATTGCCTAGTTACTTGTCTGTATCTCCCACTAGAATGCAGATGTATTTTCTTGTTTGCTCATGGGTCCTCAATACCTAGCATAATGACTGATGCCTAGTTGGCCATTAATAGGTTTTGAATGAACGAGTGATCTGATCTCTAAAAGCACCTACTAGATCTTTGAATGAAAAGATGATTGGGTAGATGAATGGGCTGTCCTCTGAGAGTAAAACGGGCGTGGGGTACAAGCACAACCATTGGCAGCCCTGTTTTTGAGGCCCTGCTGCTGCTGCCAAGTCGCTTCAGTCGTGTCCGACTCTGTGCGACCCCACAGACAGCAGCCCACCAGGCTCCTCTGTCCCTGGGATTCTCCAAGCAAGAACACTGGAGTGGGTTGCCATTTCNTGGGGGTTGGGGTAGGGGAGGAGCCCAGAGAGGGAGATGGAGTGGGAAGGTACCAAAACTGTCTTTACCTGTAGGATGCGCTGCAAGGTGGTCCATCCTGACTCCCCTCCGCTACCTGCCTTAAAGCCATTTTAGTGCATTTAGCAAAGCGCACAAGGAGAAATCCAGGCAAGACAAGAAGAGAGCATTCACACCATTAGCAAAGTGAGCAATTATGACTTGAAAGCCAATGCAGTGCATAAAAAGTTTCAGGCTGGAGGTCGGAAGGCTATACCCTGACTCAGGCAGCTGTGGGCTCAGTTGCTGCACCTACAACCTGAGCCCATTTCTAAGGCCTGCTCCAGATCGGTCATTCTGAAATTCCCTGTTTTCATTCACTCTGGCTGTTTGTTACCAAATGTTTCAGAACGGAAGTGTGTGAGCACCTTTCTGCCACCCCATGAGATCCTTGCCTCAGAATTCTCAAAGACCAGACAGCCCCACCCAGGACCTGCCCTCGTTCCCAGTGCTCTTGTAGTCCCAGGAGGGTGTCTGTGCCCCAGGAGGAGCAGATGAGCCCCCCAGGGTGGGTCCGGGGAGCTGAGCACACCGAGAGCCCTCGGCTGGAGGTCTTCGTTTCCCTCTGCCTTCCAGAGGCAATGGCCTGGACTACATGGAGTTTCGCCTCTGGATTGGCCTGCACTCCGCCGTCCAGTGCCTTATCCTGGTGGCCACAGATGCCAGCTTCGTCATCAAGTATATCACCCGCTTCACTGAGGAGGGTTTCTCCACCCTCATCAGCTTCATCTTCATCTACGACGCCATCAAGAAGATGATTGGTACCTTCAAGTACTACCCCATCAATGTGAACTTTAAGCCTGACTCTATCACCACCTACAAATGCGAATGCGTCGCCCCTGACACAGGTGACCGGTAACCCCAGAGGTGCCCTGGGCCCTCACCCACCACCCTCTCCCCCCACAACATCCAGGCCCCTTCTGCCCCCTGTTTCTCTACTCAAATGCAGGAGAATGAGGCAGCTTGGGAGGGGCAGTTCAGCCACGGGCTTTCTGTCCCAAGGGAGCAAGTACAGGGTCTTAAACCAGTTTTTGGAAGGAATACAAGGGGACAAGAGCTCTAACGGGGGTCAAAATCCCAGAACCCAGGGTTATAATCAGGAGGGAGCAGTGATAGTGATACCCCGGGAGAGGAAGGAGGCATGCTTGGCCTCAGCGTGGGGTGATGTGCAGGCTACATCTGTCAGGAGTGCTGCTCAGGGGTTCCTGCGTCAGGCCAGAGGCAGACTTGGTGGGACCTCAAGTCCCTGCCAGTTACATGAGCGCATGACACCGTGAGCTCTCCCTGACGCATCACTGCCAGTGTTTACAGCCGGAGGATGAACATCCCTGCAGATGGTGACATGTCCAGGGTAGAGGGCCAGTCAGGGTGAGAGAGCCTGGTAACCAGGTCACTGAAGAATGATTGGAGAACCTGGGGTTAACCAGATCTTAGAGCGGTATGAGAGAAGGACTGTCATGTCACAGAGGGGCCAGATTCACCCTGTGTAACTATAAGATGCAAAGGGAAGGCTGAGGTTTAACAAAAGCTCCAGGAAGCCAAATGCTGGCTGAATTCAAGGTATAAGTTACAGTGGTGGGAGCCACCACCCTGAGAGGTACGGGTCCCCTCGGGTGGTAGCAGACTACTTGGACACTACCTGGATAGCTATCTGCCAAAGGTCTCTTAGAAAGGATCCCTGCTCTGTGTGGGAGGCTAAATCAACCAACTTGTCAATCTGATAATAGTGCCATTCCTGTGAAGTTCCTTTCTGACCAAAAATGTATCATCTGTAGTGTTAGGACTTTCTGTTCATGAACCACTGGCCTCCTTCATAGTCGTGATCATGCCCCTAGGAGTCCTCAGTGGGATGCACCCAGAGTGCCCAGGATGCTGTAACAGCAGAGGCTAGAGGGACATCCACGTGTCTCCTAGCACCACCAGGCTGGACTCACAGAGCAAACTGAGGTCCAGAGACACCCAAGGTCACACCAGTTTCTTAGCTGTAGAAGAGAGGGTATCAGTGCTGGCACTGCTGGTCTCATGGGATGCTTGTGAGATTTTCATATCTATACTCAGACTGGGTTGAAATTGCACATAAGTATACACTGTGTTGTTCAGCACCTTAATACATATGGTTGATTAAAAATAATTGATCATAAGTCAGCCAAAATATTTGTTGCACAATTACCATGCACTCTACTTTAGACTAGGCCTTATAAAGTTTTCTGACCTCAGAGAATGTGGTTTTGGTTGTATGCTCTCACCCTCTGTCACTGCACTGAATTTTTTTCTCTATCACTAATTTTGAGGTATTTCATTAAAATCCAGCAGTAGGTGAAGCTGTCCTTCACCCTGAGCCAGGGCATGTTGCTTGCTCAGGAGACTAAGGAGATCCCACCTGCTGGCTCCTGTCATCATACCCTAGAGTAAATCCTGCCTCTGTGGGCCAAGCCCCACTGGGTCACTTTCATTTTCTGCTCACACACTTTGAACTACAGATCCGTTGCATTAAATACACATGTTCCCACAAACATGGCTTTTAGAACTACACACGCTTGATTTCTTTCAGAAATGGTCCAAATTCTGAGGTCATATGGACATTCTGGGAATCATCTATCCACAGGAGAAACCAAATATAGGGGTTCCCTAGGAACAGGGAATGTAAGCATGAAAGGACATATAAAGTAGGATTTGAGAACCATTATCGAATCCACCTAACTCCAAATAGCATCTGGTCTGACCTGGGCCAGGCCCCTAAGGTCACTGCATTCTTTCGGGTCATGCTATTGCCTTGGTTCTCAAAGTTGGTCCCTAGACACATCATGAGCACTATCTGGGAACTTAGAAATGCGGATTCTCAGGCACCACCCCAGACCTGCTGAATCAGAAACTGGGGGGTAGAGCCAGCTGTATATTAACAAGCCTTCTGGGTGATTCTCATGCTTAAGTTTGAGAAACACAGCTCTACTAAACCGGATCATTATTAGCAACTAGCACTAGTGAGATTAGGTTGTCAGTTTCTTCATGATAAGTAAATGAATAGGAAACAGGGCAAGTTAGTTTTGATTAGGAGAATATGAAAGGGAAGATTCTAGATGTTTAGCAGACTAGAGTGAGGGAACTAACTAGGATGGTTTCTTTCCCAGTCCATGGGTCACTCATTTTCTAATAGTTCCATAATCCTAGTGTTACTGCAAAACCCAGTTTGGCCATGGCACTCTCACTCTTTATCATAAGAGCTTATTTGGGGGCACTCTTTTTAATTTAATCTTGTTTCCATTGTAACTGATTTGTATTCTGTTTATGGATGCTGCATACACTGACTTGGCTGCTTTCAATCCCAAGTGAGTACCACTTTGTAAACACTAGAATTTAAAACTATTTGATAGCTGGAAATTTTCTGGGATTTTTCCATGTTATAGTTCTTCCTTTTTCTCCAAGTGGCTTTCAAACAAACCTTATATTGTTCTCAATATCAAAGAATGATAAAGCCTAAGCAGAAGACATCAAAGGAAAATCGGGTCTGACAACTTGGGCAATAGAACGGCACTGCACTTCCCAGCTCAGGTGTTAGCTGGGAGTCCTGTAAGCATTTGTGCGTGTAGCCCTGAGTCAGCCTTCCTACCTGCCTTCTCTGCTCCATTGTTAACTGTGCATCGTGTTCCTTTGGTCAGTGGTATGAGGAAAGGCAGCAGCTGTCCTTGATTTCTCTTCAGAATAATGTAACAAACCTCTGGGTTTGTAGAACTTCTCAAAATATTCTGCTATGGATCAAGACTGAATTCCTTAGCCACTCCCAGCTGCAAATGCCCAAGTATGGGCCACATTAAAGGGTCCTTGATCACATCCACCCCGTGACAGTTTATTGGAGGTTGCAGGATGCTTCAAGAATAGCCTCTTCTTCCCTTTGGGTTCCTAACCAGAGCCAGCAGGAGCCACATGGGGCTTGTGATGCATTTCAGGTCATTGCCAGCCAACTGGCTGGGCCTCCTTCCTTCCTGCTGAAGTCAGCCACAGAGGAAGAGCTGAGTCAGCCTTCATTTGGAAGGCAAGGAGGCTCCGGCCCTTCCCCTTCACCCGTGCCCTGCAGGAGCAAGAGAGATGGCAACAAGCAGCCCTCCAAAGCTGCTTGCTAATAAATGGCCGCATCCCCCCAGGGATGGGGGGTTATAGTTCCTCTCAACTCATCTCATGGCCCCGGAAAGGAACCCTTCTCTGCTGCACTCAGGGCGCTGAGGCTGGGGCAGGGAGCGTGGACAAGGGATCCAGAGTGAGCGGCTGAGAGCAGCACCTCTGGGGTCCTGATTCTCCTTCTGGTCCCGGACCAGCTTTAATTTTCCTCGGCAAGCATTTATGGGGCAGATTAGGAAAGATATCAAACAAGTTCTTGCAGGCCCAGCTGACCTAAAAAAACAAATCAAAACACATATGGAGAGGGCAGGAGCGAAGGGAAGTGTAATTTGAAAGGGAGCAGAGCAGGAAGGGAAGCTCTCTGTCTAGAGTTGGGAGGTGTGTCGGCTTCAGCCAACCTGTCTGGGCTAGATAGTGGCTCCTTCAAGTAGGAGTTGTGTGACCTTGGGCAATGGGCAGGTTACTTAGCCTCTCTGGGCCTCAGTTACCTCATCTTTACAACAGGGAGATTTCTTGGGGATTTAGGAACTTAGCAAGATGATGTGTTTAAGTGTTTGGCATAATGCATGGCAAAGAGTAAGTTCTTGGAAGATATTTTTTAAAGTCTAAGAGCAGAGGCATTCGTCAGGTGAGTGGTAGGGTTTCATAAGGCACATTATCTACCCACTTGTGTTAGAGTTTTGTCTTGGCAGCAGTTTTTAAAGCCAGCCCTTTGAAATCAGACAGAATCTGTCCTAACCTGATGCATCTAGTCTATCAGAACTGTGGCCTAGTGTCCCTCCCCAGGCAAAGTGAGAAGAGTGAAGAGGGGCAGCTGCCCTCTCAGTGAAAGCCAGTCTTTGGCCCTAAGGAACTGGAAGGAAATGTGAAAGGGTGGGGCCCGGGGTGGGGTGCAGGCTCCCCACCCAGCAGTCGATGACCCTTCCCTATGCCCTTTGCTCATCCACAGCAAATACAACCGTGTTCAATGCTTCAGCCATGCTGCCACCAAATACCAACACTTCTCTGGTAAGTCCTCTCCTCTTATTTCAGACATTTAAGGGACTTTGTCTGTAGGAGAACTGTGAATATCACATTGCCGAGGCGTGTGAACATAGGGTGGCATGATTCATTGGGGACCATCATTATATCAAACTACCACACTTCTCTTAATACAAACATACATAATGGCTAGTGGCAAGCATCTGTTTAGTTCATTATGTGGGTTCCTGAATATCTGCACATTAATTTTTCAAAATATAACTTTTTAAATAAATTACTCTCCTTTTATTATACTTAGAGACATGTATATGAATGTATGTACATGTACATACTTAGGAACATACATATATGAATATGTATAGGAATGTATATTATATATACGTACATAATTGTTTTGTGTGCCCTGGATTTTAAGCATCTGGGACACCAAAGGTCAAGTGACTGAAGTGACTAACCTTATAGAAGTCTGACACAGGTGGGGTGTGAGCCCCAGTTTGTGAAAGGGTGTTCAAAGAGGAAGGAAAGGGGGGGATACATGTGAGACACTCCAGGAAGGCGGTGTGGACAGGACCCATGGTTGACTGGGATGGGAGCCAGACCTGCACTTTTCCTCCGAACACAGTAGTACCTCCTAGAACACAATGAAGAAGCACGTGTCAGCTTCTGACCTTCCCAGGGAGCCTCCTGCTTGTCGTTCCTTGCAACAGCCTGTCCCCAGAAGCATAGCTCTGTTGCTGGGCACCATCATGGGGCGGGAGAGCTGGGACCCCGCTGCGAGCATGGGAGGGCTGTGTGGGCTGCCTGGAAGCTGCAGGTGGGGGAACACAGCTGACCTGCCAGGAAGGCCCTGACTGTTTCTCTCCTGTCTTGGTCTCCAAGTACAATCCCCTTAACCTCACAGCGCTGGACTGGTCCCTGCTGAGCAAAAAGGAGTGTTTGAACTATGGTGGGCGCCTACTTGGTAATTCCTGCCAGTTCATCCCAGACCTGGCACTCATGTCATTCATCCTTTTCTTCGGGACATACTCCATGACCCTGACCCTGAAGAAGTTCAAATTCAGCCGTTACTTCCCTACGAAGGTAACTTCACCCTGCAGTTAGAAGGGGGCCTCTCGTCAGACAGTCCACGTGGCGGCCTCTGCTGAGTCCCTGAGAGGGTTCTGGTCCATGTGATGGGTCCACATCAGCTCTTGCTCAGTGATGTTCTTTTTTTGTTGTTAAGAGCACAGACTTTGTAGTCAGAGAGAACTGGGTTCCTTTGTTGTCAAGTCCTCATGACAGCACTTGATATTGTCAGACTTTTTTATTTAGCCTAGTAGTATATTGTGGTTTTCTTCATTTTATTTCCCCAGCCACTAATAAGTTGAAAATCTTTTCATGTGTTTATTGGCCATAAGACCATTGACTTTCTTCTTGTAAGAGACTATTTCAATTTCTTGCATATGTTCAATCGGATTGTCTTTTTCTTTCCAGTTTGAAACTCTATACATTCTGGATAGAAACTTCTTCTCTTGCTCCATGACTGGCCTTGTCACTTTGCTAATGGTATCTCCTTTTTTTTTTTTTTCGGCTGTGTTGAGCCTTCACTGCCACACAGGGTCTTTCTGTAGCTGCGGTGAGCAGGGGCTAATCTCTAGTTGTGGTGCACAGGTTTCTCATTGTGGTGGTGGCTCCAATCGCAGAGCACGGGTTTAGTTGCTCTGGCAGCATGTAGGATCTTCCTGTGTCCCCTGCATTGACAGGCAGACTCCCAACCACTGGACCACCAGGGAAGTTCCTTAATGGTATATTTTGATTAATGGAGATTCTTAGCTTCACTGTAATCAAATATATCAAATTTTTCCTCAAAGACAATATTGGATAGGAAACATTCTATCTTCTCAAAGCTTCATTGTTTTTCCTTTCATGTTAAATCTATAATCTTCCAGGATTGCTTTTGATGTTAAGTGTGAGAGAGTGGTTTTTATTTTGATAGCCAGTTGCTCCAGCACTTTTTTTTTTTTAAAGAGGCCCACTGTTCTGCAGTGTTTCCCTTGGAAGTGAAAGTTGCTCAGTCGTGTCTGACTCTCTGCGGCCCCATGGACTGTAGTCCATGGAATTCTCCAGACCAGAATACTGGAGTGGGTAGCCTTTCCCTTCTCCAGGAGATCTCCCCAACCTAGGGATGGAACCCAGGTCTGCTGCATTGCAGGAGGATTCTTTACCAGCTGAACCATGAGAGAAGCAGTGTGTCCCTTGCCATATACCAAATGTTCATATGTGATGGGATCTGTTTCTAAGTTTTTTCATTCTGTTTCACTGATTTATTTTATGTCAATATCAATCTTCATTTCTAAGACTGATTAATACATATGTATATCTTACAGACCAAACTTTCCCTCTTTGTCCTTTTTTTCCAATAATGCCTTGGCCTTTTGCATTTCCACATAAATTTTAGAGTCTTAAAGTTCACCAAAATAAAAACTTGTTGGAATTTTGATAGAATTATGTTAACTCTAAATGTCAACTTGAGGAGAAATTCTGAGTCTTCTGATCCATGAATATGGTATGCTGTGCTGTACTTAGCCACTCAATCGTGTCTGACTCTTTGCAACCCCATGAACCATAGCCCGCCAGGCTCCTCTGTCCATGGGATTCTCCAGGCAAGAATACTTGAGTGGGTTGCCATGCCCTCCTCCAAGGGATCTTCCCAACCCAGGGATCGAACCCAGGTCTCCTGCATTGCAGGTGGATTCTTTGCCAGCTGAGCTACCAGGGAAGCCCCCATGAATGTGGTATGCCTTGTCATTTATTAAGGTGTTTTTTTTTCTCTTCATAGTGTTTTATAAGTTTTGATCTTGAGGTCTTACACATTTTTTATTAGATTTATTCTTAGGTTCTTCATTCTCTTTTACCTATTTACTCTTTCTAAAGAGTCTTTTATTTGGCCTTTACAAAATACAACTTGAGTGAAAAACAGTGTACGTGCAATACAAATGGATTAAAACAAAGTCCTGGGACTTCCCTGGTGAACCAGTGGTTAAGACTTTGCCTTCCAAAGCAGGGGGATGCAAGTTCGATTCTTGGTTGGAGCTAAGATCCCACATGCCTTGTGGCCAAAAAACCAAAATGTAAAATAGAAGCAGTATTGTAACAAACTCAATGAAGACTTTTTAAAAAATCACTACCTTTTCTGCTGTCAAATTACTTACAAACCACCACATTGCCTCTTGAAATTCAGTGTTGCAGAGAAGAGTAAGAACATACCATTTCACAGCTGTCAGATTGGTAAAAAACACAAAGGTTTTAGAAAACCAAGTGTTGGAGACAAAAAGCAATGGGTGGGAGTGACACCAGGTTCATCCAGTTTAGAGAACAACTGGTACTCTCTGAAACAGATGAAGATGGGTGTTCTGACTCTGGAGCTCAAGCTCTCAGCAGTTCTCCTCTTTGCTGCTGGAGGATGATATCTGCCTGGAGTGGGCAGGAGCTTCTCTGATTTGCTCATCTCTCTTTTGCAGGTTCGCGCCCTAATAGCTGACTTTTCCATCATCTTCTCCATCCTGCTCTTCTGTGGAATTGATGCCTGTTTCGGCTTGGCAACCCCCAAGCTTCTGGTGCCCAGCGAAATTAAGGTTTGCTCTAGAACCCTGCTCTGGGCATTTTTTCTGCCTGCCCCCCAGCTGCAGATCTCTTCCCTTCTATGCTGATCAAGTTTTTAATGTTCTCAGCCAAGAAACCACATTGGTTCCCTGTATATGCTTCACCCTTTCACCACACAGCCTGCTGGGGGCAGTCCTTTGAGGTGGTGACTTGCAGATATATCCATGATGAATTTCTGCTGTGTAGCCACAGGATAAAGGGAAGGTGCTAGAATCCACCCTTCAGTCAAGCTGAAGCCCCTTGATTTCCATTTATGGGTCCATAATTCCCTCACTCATGGTAGTCTATAACATGAGCCACTTGGGATCTGTTGAAAATGATCCTTTAAAACAGTGATCCTCGAGAGTTCCCTAGCAGCTTAGTGGTTAGGATGCCGGGCTGTCACTACCATGGCCCAGGATCAGTTCCTGGTCAGGGAAATGAGATCTTGCAAGCTGCAAGGTGAACAAAACAAACACAAACCAATAATCCTCCGCATGTGATCTGAACATCTGGGGGGGTGTGGTTCAGCACTCCGCATTTTAACAAGTCCTCCAGGAGCTTCCAGGGCATGCTTAAGTCTCATCAATTTCCCATTAGTAGTGGTGGTTTAGTTGCTAAGTCATGTCCAACTCTTTTGACCCCATGGACTGTAGCCCACCAGGCTCCTCTGTCCATGGGATTTTCCAGGCAAGAACACTGGAGTGGGTTGCCATTTCCTTCTCCAGGGGATCTTCACAACCCAGGGATCGAACCTGGGTCTCCTATGCTCTAGGCGAATTCTTTACTGACTGAGCCATTAGTCCAGAGTTGGTGCTATTTGCTTGTAGCTCTGCTTGAGCCCTGCTCCCTCACAAGGAGGACCGTCCACCTAAACTGAACTGGGAGGTAGAGGTTCTAGAACTGACCTTCCCTACTTTCGAGGGCTTGATCTTTGCAACATTATTTCAGCTTTAATATCTCATAAAAACTCATGCTGGCCTTGAAATTTAAAGTATTTCTTCCTCTTAAATAAGCAGAAGATAAACTTCAGCCCAGCTCCTGCACAGATAATGCCTCATTCTCAATATGCAAGTCCGAATTAATGTTTGGTGTTTTACAGACAACCCTATCACACTCCCCTGACAGATGACTCAGAGGAGAGGCAGAAAGTGTCAGGCACTGGCCCTCTCATTTTCATTTTTCTTGCTTTTAGGCCTCAGTCCCACTTCTTGTTAGCATATTTTGCAATTAGTGACCACAAACTCTCTCCCAATGTCCTCTGACTCTCCACCACCCTCTTTCCCAAACAAGCCCAGGGCGACTGCATCAAATCATCTCCTTTGTTCTATAGACAACCACATCCCTCCCAAGACCTCTATGCCTCCTGGATCTCTTTAAAGATGCAGGGACCTAATGGCTTTAAGGAGAAAGAATGAACTTGAACAGTACTCCAGGTGTGGGAAGAGCAGAGGTCTGGGAGAGTGGGCCACTGGGACAAGTGCTCCAGGACAAGGGAGAGAGGAAGGGGCCCTCTCCTTTGCTCTGTTCAGCCCACACGGCCTGACCGAGGCTGGTTCGTGGCCCCCTTTGGGAAGAACCCGTGGTGGGTGTACCTAGCCAGCATCCTGCCCGCCCTGCTGGTGACGATCCTGATCTTCATGGACCAGCAGATCACCGCCGTCATAGTCAACCGGAAGGAGAACAAGCTGAGGGTAAGCCTGGCGCTAGGAGTTAGGGGCACAGCCTCTTCCCACAGAGTCAGAAGGGATGAAGGAGGAGGTGTTGCTTCCTGCAAAGTGTTGGGCCATTGTGAAGCAAGCATGAGGGCAGAAGACTGGAGTTCCGGGGTGGGCAGGGGGCATGTGACCTCCAGACGTGGATAAAGCCAGAAGGGCCCGGGGGAGGCTCCAAGGGCCAGGGCCAAACCCAGGGTGGGCCCCTGGGCATGGGCTCCTCGCTTCTCCCAAAGTGACTCTCCTAACTCTGTCTCCCGACATTGAACTTGGAAGTCTGAACAGATGGATTTTGATCCAGACCATAGACAGAGGAGCATTCTTTGCCTTCCCGGCCCCTCCAACTCCTCTCCCTGCTTCTGGGTCTGAGGAGACTCCAGCTATCCTCTCCCCCATCCCAATCTGGACCACTCTAGGCCTGCACTAGACATGCCCCATTTGGGGCATCTCATTAGGGAACTGTAGAGATGTTGCACTGCTGGGTAGAAGACCCTGCTTCCCAAGGACCCAAACCCGGGGCCTCCCTGAGCCTGAACACCTCTCTCCTCCCTGACCTGCATCAGTTCCCTGGTTCACCAAACTCTGGGGTTGGTGCCTGATCACCTTAGGGTGGCAGTCCTTGCAAAGTACTCTCTAGAAGGCTGAGAACATTGTCCTCAAAACATCGTCCACAGAACGGCTGCTTTGGGAGAGTTCTGTCTCTCCCACCCCACCCCAACAGGTGGTGGGGAACAGGCTCCCTAGACAGCTTCCTCCCACTGCCTCTGCAGAAGGCGGCTGGCTACCATCTGGACCTCTTCTGGGTGGGCATCCTCATGGCTCTCTGCTCCTTCATGGGGCTCCCCTGGTACGTGGCTGCCACGGTCATCTCCATCGCCCACATCGACAGCCTCAAGATGGAGACAGAGACCAGCGCCCCTGGGGAGCAGCCCCAGTTCCTGGGGGTCAGGTAGGTGAAGGTCGGGCCTGGCAACCACCTGAGCAGGAGTTGGGGTCAGTCTGGGGGTGGGGGGAGTGGGTTTTTCTTACCATCGAGGTGTTTGGGTGAATAGGGCCCCTTCTCTAACAATCCAAGATCTACAGAGATAGGCGTGATAGCTCTGAAGGGAGGGAAGAGGAAGACAAAAGTTCAGGTGTAGTGGCATTGTTTTCTTAACAGATTCCCAGCAGCCCCTTCACACACTCTCACTTCTCGCCTATATAGGCCACTCAAGGGTTCCCACAGAGCACCTTCTGACCTGATTTTTGTCCCCTCTTTAAGACTCCCTGCCATGCCATCCCTCAAACCCCCCAATCAGGGTTCATGTCCTGCTCAATCTCATTCCTCCAGAAAGCCTTTCCAGGACCACTTCTACCCCTGGGCTGTGGCCCACGGCCTGTCACTTCCGTTCCTTCCCTCACCCCTCTGCTCATGCCCAAGTCAGGTCTCTGAGCTGTTTCAGGCAGGGAAGTGCATCTTCCACCCCTTAGGAGCCCTGGGGTGAGCCCGCATCAGACACTGAAGTTCTCATACATGACTGCCCTAAGAACTTCTGCCCATGGCCTGAGAATACCTGGGCCACCCAGCAGGCCCTGAGTGAGGTTCCTGGGGTCAGGGCAGTGTCCTCTCCTGGATCCCCAAGCCCCAGATGACTGGGCCTGAGCAGTCTGCCCAAAAGCCCCAAGCTCCCTCCAGGCTTGTGCCTGGGTCTGAGCACTCCAGAAAACACACCTGCCCTCCAGCCCCCATAACTGTTCTGCCAGCAGCCTGGCCCCCCTCCGCTACATCCTCATCAGTCATGGCCCACAGACATGAGATCCTGTTACAGTTGAAAGGCAGGGATAATGAGCACTTCATCTCCCACTTCATCCTCACAACAACCCCTGAGGTGGGCGCCATGAAGTACATTCTCCCGGTGCTGAAGACGTTTAGGGCCTTGCCTGATGACACATGGCTAGTAAGTGGCAGAGCCAGGATTCAACCCAAGTTGGTGTGGCTCAAGCACCCCCTGAACAGCCTCCTGAAGACCCCTACAAATGCCTGCACCTCAGTCAGATTCACTTTCTACGCATGTGCTGGGCAGCTTGTCCTCAGGTCACTGGTTTACTCTCTTGAGTGGGAGAGCAAGGCAGAGCCCAGGGCCTTGGACACAGCCTTCAAGTGTCCACAGAAGGCTGGAATGCCACAGAGTGTCTCCCAGCCCCTCTGACCATGTGCTCTTCTCTCCAGGGAGCAGAGAGTGACCGGCACCATCGTCTTCATCCTGACAGGGACCTCTGTCTTCCTGGCTCCCATCCTGCAGGTGAGGCTCTGCACCCTCTGCCAGGGCCCCGTCCATCTGAGAAGTTACTGGCCTGACGCTTCAGAGCGGGGAACAGGCTCTCCACATGGCCCCTAATAGGCCAAAGATACCCCATCATCACTACTGTTTTCTGTGATATTGCATCCTTTACTATCTCTGTTCCCAGGACTTCTCTGATGGCTCAGACGGTAAAGCGTCTGCCTATAATGTGGGAGACCTGGGTTTGATCCCTGGGTCAGGAAGATCCCCTGGAGAAGGGAATGACAACCCACTCCAGTACTCCTGCCTGGAAAATCCCATGGACAGAGGAGCCCGGTAGGCTACGGTCCATGGGGTCGCAAAGAGTCGGAGACGACTGAGCGACTTCGCTTTTACTGTCAGCACCAGGCCATCCTCATTGCTCTTTCTTACCCCTCCCAGGGTCCACCCTCATCTTTCTGGAGGACACTTCCCTCAGAAAGTTCTGCCAAGTTCCATCCGTGCTTAAATCAGTAGCTTCTCAAGTTGCTTTTTTCCATTTTGCGGCTTTTGGCCTCCTTGTTCACATGTTTTCTCAAGTTTAAAATTTGCAGGGGGAGGCTTCTGTCACTGCTCTTGGGGCCTGTTTTCTGCTCCTCTGTCTAGCATGTCTTGGGCACATAAGTGACTTCTTCCTCATACTATAGCTTCAAATAGTCTCTTTAGATCAGCTGGAAGAGGTGATAGCGATGGGGAGTGTATTTGGAACATTTATCTCCCAGAATGGCTCATTCAGGGGTGAGCTTGTGGGAAAAAAAGACTAAAGAACTGTGATGTTAATTGATTTATGATGGAAAAAAATTCTGGCTTGAGAACTGGTGCTGAACACAACCGAACAGTGTTAAGGCTGAGTAATTTTTTTAAGGGATGTTTCCATTTTGCAGGAAACAGATTACATACCATGGGGAAGAGAGGGACGTTTTGTTAATTTAAAAGAGTATTTTAAATGGTCAGGGAGTATTTGCTTTTACAGAGAGGCTTCCAAGGAACCATTGTGCCTGTCGACCCCAACACTGTCTAACAGCTGAGTGTGTGTGTCAAAAAAGCTCCAACAGGCACTTTAGGAGCCAAAAGTTCCTACAAACACGGTAGATGCAGTGTCTGCCTCCCTGTGAGAGGCCTGCTGCCCCAGCTGTTGAGCGTTCAGCTATTTACTCATTTCTCACAAGCTCCTGTTTGTATCTGAATGGAACATAAAGCAATTAGAAAATTCCACCCATTTCCCTCCTTTTGTTTCATTTGCATTTTAATCCACTATCTTATGGACACGTTATATTGCAAGTATAAGTCCTCTAGGGTTTTGTCCTCATGTTTGCTGTGGGCTGTGCTCAGTCACTCGGTTGTGTCTGACTCTGTGATCCCATGGACTGCAGCTGCCAGGCTCCTCTGTCCATGGGGTTCTCCAGGCAGGAATACTGGAGTGGGTTGCCATGCCCTCCTCCAAGGGATCTTCCCGACCCAGGGATTAAACAATCCCAGGTCTCCCGCATGCAGGTGGATTCTTTATGGTCTGAGACACCAGGGAAGTCTGAATTTTAGTAAATTTTTGTTTTTGCACTAATATTGTCTATCTGCTTAACATAAATATCAACAGCATGCCCAGGGAATATACTTAAAGTAATTGGGTTGAAAATAATTCTGTGCATAAGATACGCTATTGCCAAAGCCTTTGATGGTCATACTTTAAACGATGTGTAGCCTCATTGCTTGTTCTTTGGTAAAATATAGTTTTCTATTGGAAGCAGTCATGGAAACTCCTTTCCGCTGCAATTTTCCACACAAAAAGCTTGTGGGCTGTATTTCTTTATTAATTTATGCATCTTATAAAAACAAATGAGGGGACTTCCCTGGTGGTCCAGTGGCTAAGACTCTGGGCTCTCAATGCAGGGGGCCCATTTTCAATCCTTGGTCAGGGAACTAGATCCCACACATGCTGCAACTAAGACCCAGCACAAATAAATAAATATTTTTTAAAATGAGGAACATTCCATTGTGTGTGTGTGTGTGTATATATATATATATATATATATATATATATATATACCACAATTTCTGTATCCATTCATCTGTCAGTGGACTTCCAGGCTGCTTCCATGTCCTAGCTCTTGCCAAAAGCGCTGCAACAAACACTGGGGTACACGCTTCTCCTTCGGTTACGGTTTCCCCAGGGTATGTGCCCAGTAGTGGGATTGCTGGATCATATGGTAGTTCTTTTCCTAGTTTTTTAAGGAACCTCCATACTGTTCTCCATAGTGGCTCTATCAGCTTAAATTCCCACCAACAGTGCAAGAGGATTCTCTTTTCTCCACATCGTCTCCAGCATTTATTGTTTGTGGTACATATATACAATGTATATTACTCAGCTTTAAAAAAAGAATGCATTTGTCAGTCCTAATAAGTGGATGAACCTAGAGCCTATTGTACAGAGCGAAGTCAGAGAGAGAAACAGAAACATTGCATGTTAACGCGTGTGTATGGAATCTAGAAAGATGGCACTGATGAACCTGTCTGCAGGGCAGCAGTGGAGCTGCAGACACAGAGAACAGACTCGTGGACAGTGTGGGAGGGAGAAGGTGGGACGAAAGGGCGGGGAGGGGGGGGACGTATGTGTGCCTGTAGCTGATTCATGTTGATAAATGGCAGAAGCCAGCACAATATTGTAAAGCAAACATCTTGCAATTTAAAAAAATTTTTAATAAATAAAATTTCAGCCCTGGGCGGGGGTGGGGAATGAGAAAATTCCCTGGCAGTCCAATGGTTAGGACTTGCACTTTCGTTGCTGTGGCCTGGGTTCGATCCCTGGTTGGAGAGCTAAGATCTCACAAGCCATGCAGTGTAGCAGAAAGAAGAGAAAAACAGGCTCTATAAACAGGGTAAGATGCCATCTATGGAAAATATTCATTATTGCTTTAGCTGTCATGAAAATGTTTTTGGGGGGTTTATTATAGCTCCAAATGCTCTGATACTGTCGTTGCATTCTATCACAAAAGGATTTGAAAAATCTCACTGCCATTCTTTTACAATGAGTGGAAATACATATATAATCATTTTATTTAACCATTTAATTTAATCTTTTGACACATTTTATAACAGGAAAGACATCTAAAGTCTTATTGACCATAAGATTTAAGATCTCTGATTTAATTATATCAAGGTATATATCAAGGATTTCAAAACTGTTAGATGATTAAAGCATCATCACTAGTTTGTTGTTGTTTAGTCGCTAAGTTGTGTCCAACTCTTGTGATCCCAAGGACTGTAGCCTCCCAGGCTCCTCTATCCGTGGGATTTCCCAGGCAAGAATATTGGAGTGGGTTGCCATTTCCTTCTCCAGGGCATCTTCCTGACTCAGGGATCGAACCCACGTCTCTTGCAATGCAGGCAGACTCTTTACCACTGAGCCACCAGGGAAGCCACTGGTAGACACCAGTACTAAACATGAGATTGATTTTAGGGAGATATTTGGTATAGTCAGTTCAAGAAAGATACAATTTTAAACCAGATTTGAGTTACTAGATATAATACCAGAATTTATTTCCAATCAAGAAAATTTTCCATGAAGCTTAAGTTTTTGCAACTCTAAGTTTTCCTAGTTCTATCAACATAGGCAAGTACTATACTCATTGAGAACTTACACTAGAGAACTATCTACCCAAGACCATGCTTTAGTTGAAAATTTTAATTTTTTGGCTACATAAGCCAAAAGGGAAGATGCTGCAAATTTAGAGGGTACAAGTTAGATCCTAGTTATTAGTGTTTTTATTGTTATTATTGTTTCTATATCATTTATTAACTTCACCTATTTCTGTACCAATTCCTCCAGTAGAGTTCTGTTCCAGGACTTCTCAAACTTTCATGTGTATTAAAAATCATCTGGAAATTTTGTTAAATGAAGATACTGACTCAATGGCTATGTGGGGGGGCCCCAAATTCTGCATTTTTAACAAACTCACCAGTGGTACCAAATCATGCAGGTCCAAAGATCACACTTTGAGCAGCAAGGAACAAATCCACCTCCTACCCATCTCTCTGAATCAATGAACGGTTAGACTGACATTAGATACAGTGATGTTTATTAGAGGATCAGTGGTAATCTTCAGTCTTTCCATTACCAATTTGCAAATATTTGGTTATCTTGCCAAACAAGGGCACTGGGGGATAAAGTGGCTGTGTATCTGATGGGCAGCATAAATGTCTTACATACTCAGTTCTGCAGATTCTCAGTTCATTCCAAGCCCCAAAGGGTTTTTCTTGTTCACTTTTTTGTTTGCAACTCACCACAGCTTGTCAGGATTGTGAATTTCTGCATACTGCCTCAGAGGAACTCCTGATCATATCCGAAGCTTCCCCTTTGCTCCCCATATTGTCCTCACAATCTCAACCTCAAATTATATAGGAAGGCCTTATGTTTGTAGGACTGTGATCCTTGTTCTTTGCTTTAGCAAGTGGTATAAAGCTGACATTAGAGGCACCTTTTTGCCACTATACTCTGTCATTAATATTTGAGAAGAGCTCCTCCCTGGAGATCCAAGAAAGATTTGCACCAATTAATCTAGAATTCTAGATCACAGCCCCATCACTGGTCAGAGTATAATGTCACAGGCCTTTCGGATTTTTTGAGAAAGCTCTTTCAGCCTGTAAATGACAAGATGTTGTTCACTTGCTAAGTGGTGTTTAACTCTTTGCAATCCCATGGACTACAGAACACCAGGCTTCCCTGCCCTTCACTATCTCCTAGAGTTTGCTCAATTTCAGGTCCATTGAGTCAGTGATGCTATCTTAACATCTCATTCTCTGCCACCCTCTTCTCTTTTTCCCTTCAATCTTTCCCAGCATCAGGAAAGCACCTTTTCCAATGAGTCAATTCTTTGCATCAGGTAGCCAAAGTATTGGAGCTTCAGCTTCAGCATCAGTCCTTCCAATGAATATTCAGGATTGATTTCCCTTAGGATTGACTGGTTGGATCTGCTTACAGTCCAACAAACTCTCAAGAGTCTTCTCCAGCACCACAATTCGAAAGCATCAGTTCTTTGGTGCTCAGCCTTATTTATGGTCCAGCTCTCACATCTGTACATGACTACTGGAAGAAACCATGTTTGACTATATGGACCTTTCTTAGCAAAGTGACGGAGAAGGCAATGGCACCCCACTCCAGTACTCTTGCCTGGAAAATCCCATGGATGGAGGAGCCTGGTAGGCTGCTATCCATGGGGTCGCTAAGAGTAGGACACAACTGAGCGACTTTGCTTTCACTTTTCACTTTCATGCATTGGAGAAGGAAATGGCAACCCACTCCAGTGTTCTTGCCTGGAGAATCCCAGAGATGGGGGAGTCTGGTGAACTGCTGTCTATGGGGTCGCACAGAGTCAGATATGACTGAAGCAACTTAGCAGCAGCAGCAGCAGCAGCAAAGTGATGTCTTTGCTTTTTAATACGCAAATGACAAGACTGGAGACAATTCCCTAGGCTTGATAATGAGGTGATGATAATCAGTTACTGGTAACTGCAAACTAAGACAGTCCAGTTCTGTTTGATGTGGTTTTCACACTCATTAGAGCGAAACAGAAGTTTTAAGCCATATTAAATTTGTGTCAGACTTCCCTGGTGGTCCAGTGGTTAAGAATCTCCCTGCTAATACAGGGGACATGGGTTCAATCTCCGGTCCCAGGAAGATTCCACAAGCAGCAGGGCAACCAAGCCCATGTGCCACAACGATTGACCATGTGCTTTACAATAAGAGAAACCACTGCAGTGAGAAGCCTGCAGACTGCAGCCAGAGAGTAGCCTCCACTGTCCTCAACCACACGCAGCAGCTAAGACCCAGTGCAGCCAGAAATAAATACATTTTAAAAGATTTGTGTTGTTACAGGTTACAGCTTAATCTTTTATCTAAGATTTCATTTCTGTCTTAATTGCTCCCTGACTTTGAGGCTGATTAGGCCAGATTTTTTTCAGACTATTTTCCACTGTAAGTTATTACAAAATATTGAATATTGTTTCCTGTGTTGTAGTGTAGATCCTTGTTGTTTATCTGTTGTATATACAGTAGTGTGTATCTGTTAATCCTATACTCTTAATTTATTCCTCCCTCTCCCTTTCCCCTCTGGTAACTGTAAGTTTCTTTTCTTTGTCTGTGAGCCTGTTTCTGTTTTATACAAAGATTCCTTTGTATTATTTTTTAGATTCCACGTATAAATGATGTCATACAACATTTGTCTCTGACTTAGTATAATATTCTCTAGGTTCATCCATGTTGTGCAAATGGCAATATTTCATTTTTTATGGCTGTGTAATAGGAGAGTATTCTATTGTATGTATGTATGATGTATACATATCTGTAGATATATAGAAATATACATACCACATTTATTAAAGCAATTGTCTGTTGATGAGTTGAAATTTTTACCTTATTTAATAGTAAGGCAAAAACCTCATAAATCATATACAGATGGAATGACGTCCTGGACCCGTGTTTCCTTTAAGTTCAAGTGTCGTGAGTAACGTTTACAGCATGTTTTGGGTGCGGCCCAGCCCAGAGCTCTGCCTGCCCCTCTCGTTTCAGTACATCCCATTGCCGGTGCTCTATGGAGTCTTCCTCTACATGGGTGTGGCCTCCCTGAACGGCATCCAGGTAAAGACCCTTAGGTCCTCAGTTTACAGATGAAGAATCTGAGGTTCAGAACTCAAAACCCAGACACGCCGACTCCTATGAGCATTTCACTACCCCTCTCTCTTCTCTAAGGCAAGCTGCACAGAAGAAAACATTTTATTATTTACCATGATATACCAGATGTCTTGGATAGCTTGTGTTGCTTTTAGGTTGCATTTTCCTTGAAAGTGGACAGTGTTTACTGGGGCCAGCACCAGGGCTGTACCCCTCCCCAAGAGCTCAGCAAACCCCGCCCCCCCGATAAAATTTCACTATACTTCCTCTTAGACCTCCATCCCCACTCCTTTGCATCCTCAAGACCTGACCAGGGGCTCCCCTCAATGAGACCCTGCCACGGCACCCATTCTACCAGACCCAAGCCCCCAGCAGGGTGAGCAGGGTCCCCATGGCCTGGCTGAGACTCACACTGTCCTCACCAGTTCTGGGATCGCTGCAAACTCTTCCTGATGCCGGCCAAGCACCAGCCAGACCATGCCTTCCTGCGGCACGTGCCCCTGCGCCGGATCCACCTCTTCACCCTGGTGCAGATACTCTGCTTGGCTGTGCTCTGGATCCTCAAGTCCACAGTGGCCGCCATCATCTTCCCAGTCATGGTAAGGTGGGCACAGGCTTCTCCCTTCTTGCTCTGCAGGTTCAGCCAGGGAAGGTGTCCACGGGGAGACCTACCCTGGTCTCCTCCACAATGGCCTGACTCTCTTGGGGTCACAAAGGCAGGCGCAGAGCAAGATTCAGGTTGTGACTCCAGGCCAGATGGAGCTGGGGGGTTGGTGGTGGAATGGAGAGGCTTAGAGGGGGCAGAAGTTGTGTGTGGTGGGTGGACACTGTACTGACAGTCCACACGCCTGCCTCCACCCAGCTCAGGGCGGGGCGGCTCAGTGAGAATGCAAAAGCCGCCCAAACTCCCCTTCTCTGTGGTGTGATGGAGCTGGGCAAATTCAACAAGGAGACCGAGTGCCCTGCTGCCAAAATCCAAACCAAGTGCAGAAGTAGATCTATGCTAAGTATAAGTCTACCTTTCAATATAACGGAATTTGAAAAAATGAATGGGGGGATGGGATAGGGAGAGCTAGAAATCAGAGATTTAGAACTTCAAAGTTTAATGTCATTAACATGTCATTGTCTGGAGAGGCTAGGGAAAGTACGTGAGCATTCTTTGGCTATTCTTGAATTGTGGGTAAGTTTTAAATTATTCCAAAATTAAAAGTGAAAAGAAGAAAAGCCCACAACATGTTGCATCTGTCCCCATGGGGAGCAATGTGCTCTGCCCCTGCTGGGGCCTGGGAAATGGAGGGGGTTACTGTGGACTAATGCTTTGGGGAAGCCCTAGGCAGGCCCCAAAGCCTGCAGGGCTGGATTAGGGGCCAAATTGAACACAGAGTAGATGGGAAATATCCTGGGAGGGCTCTGAGTCAGTGCTTCTTGACCCTGGCTGCTCATAAGACTCACTTGGGAGTTTTATAAAGGTACATGTGGGCCTCACCCACAGATCGATTAAGACAGAATCTTAGAAAAACCCAGGCATTGGTGTTTGTAATAAGTTTACAGGTAAGCATAAATCTGCATCCAAGGTTGAAAACCACCACTCCAGGGAATGTAAAATGGATCCTCTCCAACACTGGGGAGTTCAGGGGTGATGAAGGGCAGGAACTGAGTGCTGTTTCATTTAGTTGTGACTGGCCCTAAAGAATTACTAGTAACCCCATTTTACAGACTGGAACCCTGAGGCTGTGAGTGACTCAGGTCATGCAACCAGGAAGGGCTAGAGCCAAGATTCATACCTTCCCCCACATTGATGTTTTTTAATTTACATGCAATAAAATTCACTCTGCCATTCTTTGAGTTTTGATAAATCACAGAGTAGTGATTCCACCACCACAGTCATGAAACAGAACAGCCCTGTCACCTGTAAAATGCTGTGCTGTCCCTGCGAAGACAGCCCTTCTTCCCACCTTTGCCCCTAGCAACCATGATCTGTTTTCAGAGCCAGGATTTTTGAAAACCAGGTCTGTCCAACTCCCCAGCTCTGCTTGCTCCCAAGACACAGGACCCAGTGTTAAATCTGGCTGGATGGTTGTCTCCCTGATCTCGTTTAATGGCCAGTTCTTGGGGGTGAAAGGACAATATTCAAAAGTAGCTACTTGGACCCACTGCATTTATTAAAAGGTCAGTGTTTAATCTTCTCCAAAGAACGCATGTTTTGCCTTTAATTTGTTTATCCTGAAAAAAAAAAAAAAAACCTTTCTGGACTTTCCTTTAAACATGGCAGCATCCAGCTTCTGTTAGCAGAGAGATTGGCAGCTCTTAGAAATGGAGACATAGGCACAGTTGATCTCAAAATCTAATTCCTGAGTCTGCAGCATCAACATCTCAGCCAGGAGATGCATCATCTTGTTAGAGATGCAAATCTGTGTGTTAACTGTCCACCAAGTGATTTGATGCAAGTTCAAGTTTGAAAACCACTAATTTAAAGAATAACTAGTTCTCCACCCATGGTCCCCACCTGGCTTCCCACCTCAGCTGTCACAGGCTCTGTCCCTCAACTGAGGAAAGGCCAGATGAGAGGAACCAAGATGGGTGGGAGGGGAACCATTGTTTGGGGCAAGTTTTGAGAAGGTTCCAAAGATACCAGCAAGAGTCCCTGAACATAGCTGACTGAGGGAGGAAAAAAAAAAAAAATGCCGGCGTTTGGGGCCTTGAACCCATGGTTTCCTCTAAACTCTCACCACAGATCCTGGGTCTCATCATTGTTCGAAGGCTTCTGGACCTCGTCTTTTCCCAGCATGACCTGGCCTGGATTGACAACATCCTCCCAGAGAAGGAGAAAAAGGAGGCGGATAAGAAGAAGAGAAGGAAAGGGGCCCATGAGGACAGTGACGAGGAGGTGGGGAGGATGGGAGGCCTCGGCTGATGGGAGGGATCGAGGCCCTCCCTCCACCTCTGCCAAAGCCAGGGAGGGGTGGCTTCTCAGGTAGCCAGGGGGACTGCCCGGGCCCAGCCTTGGTCTGGTGTGCTGAGATCACGTCTGTTTATGTGAATACTGTCAGCGTAGGCCAGAATGTATGAGCCCCCTCACCCAGGGGAAAGGTTGGCCAGGCCTGCTGTCTCCAATCCCTGTGGGCCCCGGGGCTCACCGTAACAGCAACAGGCCCCAGAGGGGACAGGGCAGAAGCCTCGGCTCCATCATCAAGGTTATGACAACCGACCTCTGAAGGACAGGGCAGGCCTGGGCACAGGGTTCTGATGGGGACTCATTAGGAGACTGGATTCCTGGGCAAGTGGGAAGACTGGGGCCAAGTCTTGCTTGGGGCTGTCCCTAGGGTCCTGGGGAGGGAGGTGGGGGAAGAGGCACAGGTCCTCACTGAAGGAATGACCTATTCCCCAGATGCCTGAGACCTCTCAGTTGCCCCATCAGCCCCTCTCTTCTCCCACGTTCCTCCCCATCTCAGACGAGAAGCCAGTCCTGAATTTATAGTAAATCACAAAATATTCGGGGATAAGATTGTCTGCTTCAAGTGTTCATTACAAATGATGAAACTGTCTCCAAAAGGGAAGTGACTCAAGATGGGCATGTCTAGGAGGGAATTAAGAAAACCATTCCCCACACTGATCATTTCCAATGTACTAAGCTGCCCATGCCATTCCTAATACCATGTCTGGCTCCCATTCTCCCAGTCTGACCCAAACCCATATCCCTGCCTCCACCATGAACTATTCTAGCAATCTTGCCTTTTGCAGATCAAAGTTGCTCATAGGCAAAGCCCTTGCTGACTGACTGGTGACGATTAAACCATCTTCTGAGGATAGTGATAGGCCCAAACTCCCCTGGCCCTTAATTACTGTCCTCTTCCAGGAAGGTAAGAGGCCCATAATCCCTGTCCACATGTTTTTCATTGATTTTTCCCCCCCCAAAGGGCTGCACTGCATGGTTTACAGGGTCTCAGCTCCCAGAGCAGGGAATTGAACCCGGAATCCTAACCATTAGGCCACCAGGGAACTCCCCTGTGTGAATGAGTTAGATGATTTGAAAGTTAGGTTCTGCAAACAAAGAAACTGAGAGTCTAAGTGCCTTTTAAAGACAACTATTCTTTCATTGATTCATTCAATAAATATTTGAGTGCCTACCACATGCCAGGAACTATTTCAGGGATGGGAAGAAGCATCTCTGGATTATATATTCAAAGGAAAAATGGGATCCAATTAACATAATTCATGTTACACACATCTTCACGGTTGGTGTGAGGTTCACTCTCAGATGACTGCCATCATGACAGCTGAAACAGTTCTAATGAGCAACATTCCTGCAGGAGCAGTGTCCTTCCCAGTGTCCTCAGTCGGCCCCAGGGTATTTGCAGTGCCCGCCATCTGTCTGGATGTGAACAGGATGGTGATTTGCACACTGGATGCACGTATTTTCCATCCTGGCAAGAAAGCCAGCAGCCAGTTGTATTGGTGGTGTTTATCAGCTCTTCCCACTGTTTCTCTCCAGCCCCAGTTCCCTCCTCCCTCAGTTATAAAGATTCCCATGGAAAGTGTGCAATCAGATCCCCAAAACGGTATCCACTGCATTAACAGTAAGTAAAACACATAGTGTCTCTCCCTTCCTACTTACTACTAATCCTCCACCTCTTCCTCAAGGAATTTTCATTTTTAACTCAGATTTATTGGTCTTAGGACTCCTGTGCTAGGCAGAATTCAAAGAGAAGTGGGCTATAAGAATTGGGACTTAAAAAAAAAAATTGGGACTCCAGCCATATGGAAGCCCCACATCAAGACTGGACGGATTTCAGTGATCAATCTTCACTTTAGTGTGGGCAAAGCCCTTCTTTCCTTCCTTACCCCGGAGCCCCTAGTGCCCCCAGCTGTCCATGGCGCCAGCCTGCCCCCTCCTGCATTGGTTTGGACTGCACTAATCCAAACATGACCTGTTGAGCCTCGCATGTTTGCCCGTGACTGTTGAAATGATGGAGAGCTCAAATCCCAGCTGAGCTGTTGCCTTTGGGAGAAGAAGTAGCATGACACTAGCATTATAAATTAGTCAAGGTCCCAGGGCTTGGTCCCTGAGATTCGGAATGAGTCACAAGCACCTTCCACATGTTGAAAGGGAACCGGCCCAGGAAGGATCAGATGTGGCTTATGAAGAGCCTGGGGGATTTTATTATTGTCTTTACCCACTCCCGGCCTCAGCTTCCTATCGGTGGACAGTCCTGTCATCAAGACAACATAGTCTATCCTGGGCGTAGTCTGAAAGATCCCAACATGAGTCCTGACCCTGGTGCTCCTAAGGGCTTGCCACTTTCCCCAAAGACCCACTTTAGGGATCCTGCCAGCCCCCACAAGGGCCTTCCAACAAAGGGGCTTCCCATTATACTCTCCCGCAGAAGTACTTCTTCCTTTTGAATTTCCCATTCTCCTTCTTTCCTCTGTGTATACTTCCATCACCCTTCCTTGTTTCCCCCTGGCCCTTGTCATGCCTCTCACCTGCCTCTAGGTGAAGGAATAACTGAAGCAGAAGCCACCCATCTCTGAGGGCCCTGTATTCATCTTGTGTAGCACTGGCCATGGGGTTGGAGAATAGAAAGGAGAAGAAATGGGTGAGGGAAGCACTGGAGAAAGAGAGTATTCTCCAGAATAGTTCTCAAACCTGCTCCATATCTGACACTTTAATTTTCCTGCCAGGACAAGGATCTTCCAGTTGGAGTTACTCACTCTGATTCTTCCTTCAGTGACTCAGAACTTGACCGAAGGTAACAGCCATGAGACAGACTCTTTGGGTATTAGATAAGAGAATAATAGTGTTAATAGCAAAAAAAAAGAAAAGAGAGAGAGAGAGAATAAGCAATGGCTTGAACGACTATGATTTCTCAAGCCAGTGTCTCAGTAAAAGGCCTTTGCTGCTCCAAAACAGGACACAAAGGCACAGACCTGCTTAAGTATCAGGTAACAAATTTGTCCTCTTACTGACATCATGTGATGACAACACACAAGGATATTCAACTTCAGTAAAGGAAGTTATTATAAAGTATTAAGTAGAATGAAAATTCAAAGTAAATATTGAAAAAAGACAATAGAAACTAGGCATGATTTAAGTATATATTATTGAAAACCAGGATAAATGAACTTTAAGGATCAAACACCAAGCACTTTAATACTCTGTGGGATAAAATAACAGCATGGTTAATTAGCAAAGGTGAGAAAAGGTATCAAGGAAAACTAAATATCAATGATCAAGTGGAGATAAAAATAGTCAAGAAAGAATTCAAGGCCCAGTTTCCAGCAATTCCCATGCCAACAGTGTGACTCCTTGCTGTTTTTAATGAGAAGTCACCCTCAAAAAAGGTGAGGCTACTTGATGACCAAAAACAAGGAAGGGGGCCAAAAATGGAAAAGAGGAATTCAGAGTCAGTAGAGTCTGCTTCAGTCATCACTATGGAAGATGGCGAGGGCAGTCCTGCTCCTACAGGGTACCCTAAACTGGACAGGAGTCCAGTGCTAGATCTAACGGGAGAAGCACAGGCTGTCCCAAGACAAGCGGCAGCTAACTCCAGATACAGATGGCAGTCACCCAGAGATTGTAGGACACATGTACAGAGAGTGTAGATCACCCAAGGGATCTTCTGAGCTATAAGTCAAAGCTGTTATCACATTGCCCGGATGAGATTTATCACCAGTACAAGCATTAGGCCTGAGGCCACCGTAACCCAGGAGTGTCAAATCCAAATCACATACCTGCCTGCCATGTCATCCCACTTCCTGAGTCAGGGCTCCTGTGACCTTCATGCACTGATCTTTATAAATAAATGTGTTAGGAGAAAAGCACTCTGTCTATCTTGATTTATTTTCATTTTAAAGTATACAAAATTGAATCTCCAACAGCTCCAATTTCAGTTAATGGAGAGAATTTGGATCAGGATAGAATATCTCCAAAACCCTGTTAAAGGACACGAAGCGTAGGACAAGGTCAAAAATGCAGAAAATTTCATAAATGGTAATGGCACCTCAACTACACTGGTATTTTACTGAATCTATGAAAGTAGATGGAAGCAAAGATGACTAAATAGCAGGATTCCATTTCAGTGAAGAAAAGAAACTCAGCAACATGATCTAGTTTAGCAGATTAGCATCCATGATCTACCAGGCATTGTGCTTAATCCCTGGCAATAGAGAAAGACAGACATGTGAACAAAGATATACACTACCCTGGGCCAAGAACAACGGAGCACACGTAAGAGCAAGGACAGGAATCTAAGGGAGGGATCAGCCTTACCCAGAGAATCTGGGAACAATAAACAGGAGTCTACCGGATGTAGACAGAAAAGCAAAAGAGAGAGAAAAGGCACTACATAGAGGTACTGAGAAGAGGCCTGAAATACTAGAGACACGCGGCAAAGACCAGGGCAAACTGCAAGCAGGAGTTCGAGCAGAGAAGGTTCTTGTCTCGCCAGGCTAAGGGGGATGAATTCTCTCCTTTGAACAATGGGGGACCAGTCAGGTTCATGATCCAGAAGTCCACTTTGGCAACAGTGAGGAAAATAGGTTGAAGTAGGGCTAGAGCAGTAACTGTGACAGCTGAAGGCCAAGCAGATAGGATACTGCTAGTTCCTGTGATGTGTTAAGAGATCAACAGCAAAGACACAACTGTTTGCCCTAGAACCCTGTCCTGGGAGAGAGCATTTAAAAACACCATATCCTAGAAAAATCATTCTTCCCTCCTCTCTTTCTCATTCAGCATCACCCTGCACTTCAAAATCTCCTGTCCTGCCTCACCTGCCTTCAACTACTCCCAGAGCCCCGTCTTCATGGTGCCACAGGTGAAGATAGAGATGGAGCCCGAGTGTGACTTCACAGACATGGACAGATATGGGAGAGACGCTGATGGCGAGACCACCCTCTAGGAGGAAGAGCTTCCCCGAGACAGGGCACAGAGTGAGGGCCTGGTTTAGTCCTCACCGTAAGTCTGGGCCAAAACCCTTCACTTTCGAAGCCTGTTCCTGTATTTACCAAGCAGAGAGTCATTCTGCTTGTTCGATGAAAACTGGAACTCTGTCGTGCAAAGCCCTTTTCTTCCCTTTGTAGTTATGAAAATAACTAAAGCTTACTGGTACACCTTATTTTAAAATGCAATCCAGCATAGAAATGATAACATTTCTTTTGAAATGAAAAAAAAAAAAAATGCTTGCCTCTCAAAACTGTAGATAAGATAAAGGGGCACTAGTCAGTTTTTATTTAAAACAAATATCAGTTATGATTTTTTTAATGCTTAGATTTTAAATTATCTAGATGGTCTTAAAAGAACTGTTAAAATACTTGTACTTCGATAGACCAAGGTTGGAAATTTTGTTTTGCATACTAAGAAATGCTAAAAAGGTCCTCTTATCTCTCCATCCCATTCAGTTTTCTATGAAGAGTTTGAACCATCTGCATTCTGGGCCTTGTTCCAGCACAGAAGTGTGACTGGGGCTTTCCCAGGGTGACAGCTAGTTCTGAAAGTCTGGCTGTGAAAGAACCAACACATTCGAGTGGATGTTTTAAAAACAATTAAGTGAAATCTCAAGTCACATGGCAAATCAACCAAATAATCCTTTAAATTAGTATCACTGGTTTTTCAAGCACAGAATCACATTTCTTGATGCATTTGGGTAGCTCTTTCCTGCAAGTTTTCAATGGCCTGATTCCCAAAGTCCAACTAGCATTCACATGAACACTACGTGTTAGGCAAGGCTAATGTGAAATTTTGGAAGATTATAACTCTGTAATACTAGTCAGACTAGTACTTTAAAGGAATAATTGGAAACAAACTGGGTAGATTAAAACCCATTAATCACAAACCATGCTTAAGGTCAGTCTTTTTATCTTCAATTCACATTTAACAAACACCAACCATGTTTATTTACCACCTCTGTGTGCCTGATAGCCCCAGTGCATCTGACATTTACCTTCTCCAAAACAACTATGGATTTGAATCTTGAGTGAATTACTTTAGTTACAGTTACCAGACTTACTCAAGATGACAAATGCAGGTGCTTTTTCTTTATTCCTTTCTATTTTTTAAAGGTACAAATGACACTAGATTCATTAACCAACTTGAGTATGGGGATAGCTAATTGCCTCTGATCCCCAGAGCCAGTAGAGTGCCTGGTCCATAGAAAGCTCTCAGTGTTCATGAAATTAAATATCAGAAGTCCCTTCTAAGGATACTGCCATGAGGTAAAGCTCTAAACCTCCACCACTTCTACTGAGAGCAGCAGAATTGCTTAGCTGCTCACTAATCCAGAACCATTGCCTGAGTTTAAGTATAAATTCTTTGTCTTCATCTACACCAATTCTGGGAGTGCTAACAATCTGCTCTGAACATTGCAGTTTTAAAACCTGGCTGATTTCCAATAGCACTTTGTCCAAACTGTGCTGTAGAAATGGTATGGATTCAGGAGTAAATGTGCTTGATTAATCAAACAAGCTGGCAAGCTAAAATGTTGATTTTTTTTGTTGTAAATTGATCACTGTAATTTTTACCTTGTATGTTATTTGCATTTTGTACACATACACAGGAACATTTTAATTTTAATAGCTTTTAACAGGTTGACATATTGTTACTTCTTCATACAGGTCATACTTTTTTCCACTTGTAACTACAACTCAGTAAAACTTAATTCCATCTGCTCATCTTGCTCCACGTTTAATAATTTAGGTGAGTCAGTAGGTATGACGTACAGACAGGAACTATACCTCACTTACAAAAACACCTTTAGAACTATCACCCCTCTTCATCTCCAGAAAACTATCAAAAGCATAAGGCAGCAAGGGAACAAGCGGGAGAAGGGCGGCTCTGCACTGTTCTCCTTCCTCTCTCTGCCTCAAGCTGCCTGGAGCAGGAGCTGCTCCTGCCTTTATGAAAGCCAAATACCCAGCCCTCAAGCAGAACACACGGGACCTACCCAAGCCGCAAATATGCCACAGCAAATACCTTCCGATCTGTGCAATCAAACTAATGTTTTAAACACACACACACAGGAAAAAAATTTTATATATATAATGTGGAGGAGGGAGAGATTTGGCAAAACACATCAAGAAGTCCTGTGTAAATTGAACATGTGGTTTAAAACACTCAGAACAAGACTAACCACTGAAATGAATCTTACAGATGAAACTTCTGGCTTGGGATGTACGATTAAAAGGACTAGGCTAGTTTCTCCACAGCTCTTTAAATCAATTTGTTAAAGGCATAGGATTGGATGTTACCAAATATAGGAATATTTAAATTGATTACATCCAATGAGAAAAATTCAGTCACAAGAAGATAGTAGCAGAAAGACGAAGTATTTCAGAAACTCATTCCATATCAGTCAGAAGTGTTTTATTTAAAAAATTAAAATGATGCAAAAAAGTCCCTTAATAAAGTCTGATTAAATTCAGTATTAACTCTCACTCTCAAAAATCAATCAAGGAAAGCCAACAGGTGCAGCGGAGAAAAGCCGGCAGCTGTTGACAGTTCTTTGGTGGCAAAGTAAGTTGCATACTTATATATAGCTGCCCTAATGATTATCAAGCCCAAGTTATGTTTTCAAAAAATAGGTTTCAAGACACACTAAAGAAACCATACAGACGCCTCCAACAATATAAAAATTTGACAATGAAGTTTGAGGATATAGGAAAAGTCAAATATGACAACACACATGAATAATTTATCAAATAAGCCTTTCAATCCTAGAAAAGTAAAATGGGGAGACCCCAAGTGGTAATGAACATAAAACAAGGGCTAATAGCAAATGGGAAAACCCCAAACATTTTCCCAATCACTGAATCACAAAATGGTAGCTTAGGAGACTATTAACATGCAGTTTTCCTTCTGTTTATCATCAGTACATATATAAATTAGGGTAAATTTTTTCTACTCAATTACCATCATTTCTTTCTTTTTTAACTTTTCCCTAATTTTCTCTAGCAACATTTTTCCTTTGGTTTGACCAGTTGAACTCAAAAGGTTTGGAACCTAAAGTGAGCATCAACTCATTATTGGAATGGCACTTGGGAAATGTAATCACAGAAAAGACAAGTTTGGGCAGCACTGGTGGTATAATGGTGAGCATAGCTGCCTTTCTAAAGAAGACAAATTTTAACTGAAGCAGCCTGACAAAGTTAAGCAGCCATTCTCAGTGTGACAGGGTCCTCCCTGTTAATCTCTAGGTTAATGCTTCTCTTGGTTGGATCGCATGACCCAGCACGATAGCGGCATGCTCCCTGGTAGGTTACTGCAGAGCTATGTGTGCAAACAGCCACTCATTTAAGCTTACAATAAATACAAAGCGTTGTTTAAAGCCATGTAAGTAAAGAAAAAATATTGCATTTCTATTGACCTGGTTTTCCTCTTGAACTGGCTTGGAGTGCTGTTCATGACACAGAAGACACAATAGTTAATTACTTGCTACTCCAAGTTCTTTAGACTTCAGTACTTCCCGTTCTTCGAGCCTCAGCACTTTTTTTGCAGCAATAATAGTATTCTTCATCAGCATTGCCACTGTCATGGGACCAACACCCCCAGGTACTGGAGTGATATAACCTGCTTTCTTCTTGACTCCTACACAGAAATAAGACAGGCAAACTCTTTCATTATGGCAAAGAAACTCTATGTACTTTAACATATCATGGAAGAAGCATTCAAAGAAAAAGCAATAATATACATAAGCATCTCAGTAAGCCTCAAACTCATTAAAAAAAAAAAGAAGTACATCTACATTACCCAAGAACAAGGGCTTCTGAACATACTAACACAGCAACACACATTTAGGGACTTCCCAGGCGAGGCGGTGGTTGGGGCTCTGAGCTTCCACTGTAGGGGGCACAGGTCTGACCCCTGGTCAGGCAACTAAGGGCTTCCCCGGTGGCTCAGTGGTAAAGAATCTGCCTGCAATGCAGGCAACACAGGAGACTTGGGTCCAGTCTCTGGGTCAGAAGATCCCCTGGAGGATGAAACCGCAACCCACTCTGGTTTTCCTGCCACGAAAATCCCAGGGAGAGAGGAGCCTGGTGGGCTATAGTTTATGGGGTTGCAAAGAGTCAGACATGCCTGAGCAACTGAGCACTCGCAGAGAACCAAGATCCCACATGCTGTGCAGTGTGGCCAAAAAACCAATAATAAAACAACATGCATATAATAAGCAGAGTTGTTCAGGGAATGTACTTAAATAACCAGCCATCCTTTTCTCCATATTAAATAAATTTAAAAATAAATATCTCAGTAGGTAAATGTATGGAAGTGTAACTATAATAATAGTAAGGATTATTTCAATTAAAACCTGCCTACAATATCTTCTTAATTTTATTCTATATATTTAACTATACTGTTTGCCCAAAACACCAAGCAAAGTAATTTTCTGGAAAGTAAAAAGATTCTTTTTAATCCAATCTAAAGGGAAAAATTACTTACATACCTAGGCTTGGGTCTGACTGCTTGAGAAAAAATAATAGAAAGCTAGAAATAGAATTATCAGCATAAAATTCAGATAAATTCAGAACTGAAAGGAGAAATATACCAGTGAATTCCAAAATTTTAGTAATATGGCTTTTTCCTGGACTTTTAATATTGCAAGTCTGAGATCTCTCCTCTCAGTATGAAAATTAGAAGTCTGTAATACTTTTTAGGAGACTCAATGGTTTAGAAAAATCACTTAATTAAATTTTCCAGACTTATTAAAAGTCTTGTTTTCATTATAGAATAACCCTAAAGGGAAGAAAGAAATTCCCTGAAAACTTTATATTTGTTCTCCATAATTTGATGATACAAACACCTAAAATTCTAGAATGACTGTAATTTTTTAAAAGATTTCTCTTAATTATCATGAAAAGCATAATAATAAATGGTAATAACCAGGTAATAAAAGTTTGAAAGTTAAAGAAAAAGTAAATAGTCTGCCCTAATTGTCCAGTAAAAGTAGTATTTATTGATTTTTTATATTTTAAAAAGTTACCTTCAAAATCCACATCTCCAACCAACTTGGGTTTAGCAGTTATGGGATCTTGAATTCTATTTATTCCCACATCAATGACAGCTGCTCCTTCCTTGATCATATCTGCTGTGATCAGATTTGGAATACCTAGAAAAGGAGATAGGAATGATCAATTTAGTACTGAAAAGAATATTCCACCTCTAAGATTCTTATCAATTTCAAGATACCTGCAAGAATGAATTATCTTGTTTTACAAAAACTGATAAAAAAATATTAACCAGGGAAACAGTTAAACTTCATATAGTAAACAAAAATATTTTGAGGCTGTAGAAATAACATTTATCCATCAAATATATAATGGAATGCCAGAAATCGGTATTCCAACCACAAATCTCATCTTTGCAAGCAGCTTTGACGTTATGGTCAAACCTAGGGGAATACGGAATAAAACGACAGGGCAGTAGGCAAATTTGAAGATAAGAGATCCATCTTCATCCTCTGAGCAAGGTACTTCCACCCCCTCCCCGGTGCTCTTACCTGCAGCGGAGATCACAATATCTGCAAGAGCTGTATGTTTCTTTAGCTCCTCCTTAGGAGTGTACCGATGAGATATTGTGACAGTGGCATCGCCTGTGAGTTAAAAAACAGATGTTTTAATTTCTGAATCAAAGCTAGGAATGGATTAGATTTCAACTAGGCAAACCATGCCAGAAATTTTCAAGACCTCTGAAAAAATAATCGACAAATCTTATACCATACTTTCTGGGCAGCCAATTTTCATTAAAAAAAAAACAAAAACAAACTAATACTCCATTTCTTGTAACTTTTACCTGTTGGTCCTAGCTCTACCCTCTGGAGTCATATATCATTAGATTTATTCCTTATCCTTTTTAACAGTCTTTCTAAACAAAATGTCACTAGAATTACTCAAGGATTTTTCTTAAAAGTGTGCTGAAAGATATGCAGAAATATTTAGTTCTGATATATTTTATCTCTGATATAATCATGTATGGTCATTTTATGATAATAACATATCACTTTGATTTGAGAGTTTTTATCAAATTAACAGAATTTAACATAATGATAACACATTACAGTCATATGAATTCAATCCTTTGCAACGGTCTAAGATATTTTTTTTTCCTATAAAATGGCACAGATCAGGACACTAACTTTGAATAAGGTATACTTCTTAGCTCCAACTATCAAACCCATAACTGAAAATTCTAATTGTCTATAACCATGCTTACACTCAAAACTCAAATTTCTGAGACATATCTATTTCTGAACTAGTTCCATATTAGTGAATATAAATTAACTCTCAAGTAACACTGAGTACATCTTCTTCTACAAAGATTACTCCCAAAGTACCTATTAATAAAATTATAACAAAGACAAGTAAAGCTTAACAAACACTTCCAAGCATCCACAGGGCAGTCTCTGGAGTTTTTCTCACAAGGGAGAAGAGGACACCTTCCTGAGAGCAATATTCTTACCTCCGGGCCGTTCATGTGCCCCATCTGTGTGCAGTAACATTGCAATGGGCATTCCAACATTTTTTGACCTTCCGGCCACAACCACATTCTTCCCTAGGGTTGGAATGCCTGTGAAAAATAAATATATTGGCGTTTCACATAGGGCCAGATTATCTTAGAGCACCTAAGAAAAAGGAAGACTGACACTTTAGGATGTGACTCTAATTGTGATAAATGAAGGAAATCACTAGCTTACTGACTCATCAGTCAACTGAACCATCACTTGCTACACATAGTGAAAGCTAAAAGGAAACATAAGCTGCAAAATGTTATATGAATGTGCACTATTACCACTATCAAAGCTTAAGTTTCCTTCAGAGTTTTCTGGATTAAGCAGCAAAAACAGTTGTAGGCAATTGCTAAGGGAGTTAGGCTCTGGGGAGTAGGACTAGATGATCTGAGGTGGGGGTTTCCACTGTTTGTTCTGTAGGAATTTTTACCATTTTGTAAGTATGTTTTGATAATACTGAGATGGATATACCTACCAGTTCGCTTAATTATTTCCCACACACCCCATGGAGTAGCTGGTAACATGGAACACTGGTCCAAACACATTCGTCCTACATTAATTACATGAAAGCCATCAACATCTCTGTCTGGAGAAACAGCATTGCAGACCTTTCTCTCATCAATGTGCTCTGAAAAAGAAATCAGAGCAGAGGTCAAGCGTTACAACTATGTAACAAGTGCTACATAGTTAGCACTGCTTGACTCCGACTTACCTGGTCTGCAGTAAAAACCCATTCCCCTTCTGTAACTCACCCCTTAACTTACTCATCTGTGCACTGGGAACACACAGCAAGCAAAGTCAAATGCCAAGACCAAACCAGTGTCCTCTTGTCCTCCCCAAACTGCTTCCCTCCACTGTCCTTTGTATTAATATCTCAATACCAAGTCAGGGAGTAATTGGTATTCTGAGTAGGTCTGTCTCATATCTAACAACATACTCACTCAATCTTGATTTACCTCCCCTTTCTTTAAGACAAATAAACATGAGGAGCCAACTGTATAAGCTAAACAAGCCTCTCCACGCCTCAGAAATCATTTTAAATGGTGCTATATAAATCTCACCTGGAAGAGGCAGCTGAACAAGGAGGCCGTCTACATTATCATCATTATTTAGTTTATTGATTAAATTCAACAGTTCTTCCTCTGAAATTGAAGCTGGTTTCACAATGGTCTCACTGTTGATTCCTATAAGAAATTTTCAAGGTTAAAAAAAAAATAGATTACGGAAGATGGCGGAGCAGGAGAACATAACATACAGTTCACGTCTCCTCACGGTATGCCAGAAGCGCATCAGAGAAGTTCTTATGGAGCGCACGCTGGGCACTGGTAGAGAGCCTTGGACACCTGGGGATGGAAGGAGTCCCAGCGCAATCTTTTTTCAGAAAGAAAAATTTTGTTTTCTCTTCTGTTTAGCGCCCTTCCCAGGTATGGTGTGGGAAGGAAGAGGGCAGCAGTGGAGGCAGGACAGGACCAGCTTCCCTGGGGGAAGCTGGGGGACAGGAAACAATCCCACACTCAGGGAAGCACGCTCACAGCGGGGGTCAGCTCCTTAGGGGGACCTCAGGATGGGAGCGGAATGCAGCAGCCAGTGTGTGTGGGGCAGGACGGAGTGGAGCCTGTGCATACAGTCCATGCTGCAGCCCTTCGAACCCCAGTCTGCGTGTCTCACGGTGGGGAGGAGGGCTGGGTGCTGGTGAGTGGGATTTGGGGAGTGGGTCCAGGGAGGGGACAGCAGTTGGCGGTAAGGGGATGGCCTGTGGTATTGGTGGGGGAGGGTCTTGGGCCACAGTGGGAGCAAGGCACTATTGTTGAGTGGCACGTGAAGGGTGGGGTCACCACTGCAGAACCCTTCCCTGCCCACCAACCAGCAGTGATGGGAGCACACGGCTGCCCAGCAGCCTCGGCTGGGTGACATGTGGCAGGCTCGCTCACCCCTCAAGCCACGGTCTCCCCAGTCTTCTCAGACCCTGGCAAGTCTGCTGGGGTTCCAGGCCTGAGCCCCACCTCCACCAAGGCCTCCTCTGGCTGCTGGGGGCCCAGTGGACCCAAGCACCACCCCCGCTCAAAGTCCCCGTGAGTCATGTGTCCAGGCAGGCAGAGGGCTCCCCCCTCCAAGGCTTCTTCCAGTTGCTCCAGCCCCTGCGGTCATGCCCACGGAAGCCTATGCTCCAGTCAGCCTGTGCTGACACGTGTGCTCTGGGCCAGCTTCAAGAGCAGACCCTGGTGAAAGGAGCACACACAGAGCTTTTCTTTTACTTTGTTTTTTTGATTTTTTTTTCTTTTCTGTTTAGCTTTCAGTTTCAGTTCAGTCACTCACTCGTGTCCGACACTTTGTGACCCCATGGACTTCAGCACACCAGGTGTCCCTGTCCATCACCAACTCCTGGAGTTTACTCAAACTCATGTCGATCGAGTCAGTGATGCCATCCAACCATCTCATCCTGTGTCGTCCCTTTCTCCTCCTGCCTCCAATCTTTCCCAGCATCAGGGTCTTTTCCAATGAGTCAACTCTTCGCATCAGGTGGCCAAAGTATTGGAGTTTCAGCATCAGTCCTTCCAATGAACACCCAGGACTGATCTCCTTTAGGAAGGACTGGTTGGATCTCCTTGCAGTCCAAGGGACTCTCAAGAGTCTTCTCCAACACCACAGTTCAAAAGCATCAATTCTTTGGCACTCAGCTTTCTTTATACTCCAACTCTCACATCCAATACATGACTACAGGAACAACCATATATTTGACTACATGGACCTTTGTTGGCAAAGTAATGTCTCTGCTTTTTAATATGCCATCTAGGTTGGTCATAGCTTTTCTTTCAAGGAGTAAGTATCTTTTAATTTCATGACTGCAGTCACTATCTGCAGTGATTTTGGGACCCAAAAAGATGAAGTCTGTTACTGTTTCCATTGTTGCCATGAAATGATGGGACCAGAGGCCATGATCTTGGTTTAGGTTTGTTTTTATCATCAGTTTTCGTTTGGAGGCTCTCTTGTTTGGGTGTCTTCTTGTTTTTTGCTTTCCTTGTTTTTTTCTTTTGTTGTTGTTTTTTTTTATTGGTTTGTTTTTTGGTTACTTGGATTTGTTTTTATCACTTGTTGAGGGTTATATTTGTCTGTTTTCTTTTTTGTATATTTGTCCCAGTTTTGTTATTATTTGCCTTGGGCTTTGTTTGTCTGATTTTTCCCTTTTTTGCCATGCCACATGGCTTGTGGGGTCATGGTTCCCAGGATGTGGGTCAGAAGCTCCTGTGATGGGAGCTTCAAGTTCAGGCTTCTAGACCACCAGAGATTTCTAGAGAATACTAGTTGGCATGAGCTCTGCCAGAGGTCCTCACTCAGCACCAAGACCCAGCTCCACCCAACTGCCCACAAGCAACAATGCTGGATGCCTCAGGCCAAACAGTCAGCAAGAAGAACACAGCCCTACTCATCAACAGAAATGAGACAACAGAGAAATATGTTACAGATGAAGGAGCAAGGTAAACACCTATACAACCAAATAAATGAAGAGGAAATAGAATCTACCTGAAAAAGAATTCAGAGAAATAATAGTAAAATGACCCAAAATCTTGGAAATAAAATGGAGGCATGGACAGCATGGATGGGACGTGGGTTTGGGGAGAACAGACACATATATATGTTGGCAGAGTCCCTTCACCATTCACCTGAAACTATCACAACACTGTTAATCAGCTATACTACAATACAAAATGTTTTGGGTGTTAAAAAATAAAATTAAATTAAATTTTTAAAAATGGAGGCCTGCATTGAGGCAATACAAGAAATGCTTACAAAGGACCTAGAAGAACTAAACAGAAAACAAACAGTGATGAATAACACAATAACTAAAATGAAAAATACAGCAGAAGGTATCAATAGCAGAATAACTGAAGCAGAAGAATGGAAAGGTGAGTTGGAAGAGGGAATGGTGAAAATAACTGCTGAGCAGAATAAAGAATGAAAAGAAATGGGGACAGTCTCAGAGACCTCCAGGACAACATTAAACACAACAACATTCAAATTATAAGGGTCCCAGAAGAAGAAGAGAAAGAGAAAGGGTCTGAAAAAATATTTGAAGAGATTATAGTCAAAAACTTCCCTAACATGGGAAAGGAAATAGCTACCCAAGTTCATGAAGCACAGAGAGCCCCATACAGGATAAAGCCAAGGAGGAATCACGTTGTGACACATATTAACTGGCCTAATGAAAATTAAATTCAAAGAAAAAATACTAAAAGCAGCAAGGGGAAAACAACACGTAACATACAAGGGTATCCCCTAAAGATATCAGCTGATTTTACAGCAGAAATTCTGCAGACCAGAAGGGAGAGGCAGGATATATTTAAAGTGATGAAAAAGAAAAACCTACAACCAAGATTACTCTACCCAGCAAGAATATCATTCAGATTCAGTGAAGAAATCAAAAGCTTAACAGACAAGGAAAAGCTAAGTGAATGTAGCACCATCAATCCAGCTTTACCACAAACGCTAAACGACCTCTACGTGAGAAACTTAAGAGAAGAAAAAGACTTACAAAAACAAACCCAATGGGCTTCCCAGTCCAGTGGTTAAGAACCTGCCTTGCCATACAAGGGACACTGGTTTGATCCCTGGTCTGGGAAGATCCCACATGCCATGGGGCAACTCAGCCCACACACCACAGCTACTGAAGCCCATGCACTCTAGGGCCCATGTTTTGCAACGAGAGGAGCCATTGCAATGAGAAGCCCCGGCACCACAACAAGAGAGTAGCCCCCACTCACCACAACAAGAGAGTAGCCCCCACTCACCACAACTAAAGAAAGCCTGAACATAAAAAAAAAAAAATAAAGAAAGAAAGAAAGCCTGAACATGGCAACAATGACCCAGCGGAGCCAAAACAAATAAAACCCAAAACAATTAAGAAAATGGTCATAGAAACATACATATTGATAATTACCTTAAATGTAAATGGATTAAATGTTCCAACCAAATGATACAGACTGACTGAATGTATATAAAAATAAGACCCATTTATAAGCCAAAGAATACTCAAACTACCCCACAATTGCTCTTATTTCATATGCTAGCAAAGTAAAGCTCAAAATTCTCCAAGCCAGGCTTCAACAGTATGTGAACCGTGAACTTCCAGATGTTCACAATGGATTTAGAAAAGACAGAGGAACCAGAGGTCAAATTACCAATATCCTCTGGAGCATCGAAAAAGCAAGAGAGTTCCAGAAAAACACATACTTCTGTTTTATTGACTATGCCAAAG